GTCGGAGTAAATCAGAATGTTGTCGAGATAGACAATGACACAAACATCTAGCATGTCTGAGAAAATGTCATTAACAAAATGTTGAAAAGCAGCAGGTGCGTTCGTAAGGCCGAACAGCATAGCCTTCCATTCGTAAGAGCCGTAGCGCGTTGTAAGACCTGGGTCAGAATAGGTCTTAAGGTAGGGTTTGGTATATGAAGGTTTATGTTGTAGCGTGCTAGGAGCAGGCTGGAGCTCGAAGGGAGCTACGGGAACCGCAACCAAGGACAGGAATGACCTAGTAGTGGCTGGGGCGAAGAGATGGTGACCCTTGAGGGGGTTCCTAGGAGGTCCAGGGAGGTCTCTAAGGCGTAGGGAGGTTAGGTAGAAGTATGGAACCTTGTAATATTGCGTAGTAGGAGTTGTACTCGCTAGAACGTCAATATAGGGTTCGAATAGGTCGTAGATGGAAATGGGTCTCGAGGTGGTAAGCTCCCGAGAAGGTATACGCCCAGGAAGGTAGGTTCCCGGGGACTGGGCTTGAGGATGGACGTCCTCGAGTGTTGGAGGTGGTAACGGAGAAGCGATACGTGGTTTGACGTGAGGGGTAGCTTCGACATTACTTAGATCAAGGTCCCGAAGCTTACAAAGTAGCTAGGGAGCTCTGGGAGGTCTGGGGAAGGGTAGCTCACCAAAGCGTTTAGGCGTTGGGGAGCTTGGAGACTCACTTGGATGGCCTAGACTTGAAGTAAAAGTGTATATTTGATCGTATAGACGATCAGAGAGACAGTAGACGAGAGTAAAGAGAAACAGAGGTAGAGAAACAGAGAGTAAAGAGAAATCCGTATGGTTAGCAGGTACAAAGGGACAGGGACTGGACCTATGCAAAAGGGTGTGTGTTCAAAATATACCAAGCTGGGGCTTGGGGATGTTGCGGAACTACTTAAATAGGTACAGGAAGTGAACAAGGGAACATCAGGGGATCTAGTGAACATGAGGCAGTAATCGAGATTGATACTTAATGGAGTTGCTGTAGGGGGTCCTGTATGCGCGCCGGGGAATGTACGCGTGTCGGGGAAGTCATTATCTGGGACCAGGTATGTGCTTACTTATTATTACCTATGACTACGATACTCAATATATCTCTGTCATTATCTGGGACCAGTTTGCCTCCGCTCTGCTTAGTTGCTCCGCCTCACTGACCTGCTTAGTCGCTCCACCTCATCGCCTTGCTTAGTCACTCCGCTTTCCTGCTCCGCTAGTCACTCCGCCTCTGCCGCTTCGTGACAACTGGGCTGTGGTGAAGAAAGTGTTTTCTTCGGAAGTAGCTCTAGATTGAGCTCAAGTTCTCGGAGGCATAAAAAATGATATGTCAGTACGACATTAATGGATTGAGTTTAATTATACTGTTAAGATCATGTACACCGTGTAACCATGCCAGAGGCCACAAGGTGTCTAAGGGCGGAAGGTCGAATGGGACAGTAGTGAAGTTATGAACAACACCGCCGTTATGCCACTAGTCCCCGGAGATCGAGAGTAGAGAGGGAGAGAGCCAGGAGCAGCCAAGTCGGAGCGGCGGTATCGCCTGCGACAAGGAGTGAACCAAAGAACTTATAAGTCCTAAGGTCAGAGTAATAAGTACTTCAAGGTGACAAGCCTGAAGACTTAGAGGACAAGAGGAGAAGGTCTAGGGTGATCTAAGTTGATAATTAAACTGAGAAACTACAGTATTGTACAGGCAGTATTTATATCTACGGATCGGCGCATTGGTGCAGAGCACCAGACTAACTACTAGGAGCTATACTTGTAGTACCTGCAGGGTAGAGAAAAAGACAATAAGGAGACTGGAATGAAAGGGTATGTGTAGCGAGAAAGAACAATAAGAATGAGATTACAATAAATGGTGGATTTCAGAATACCGAGCAGCGGAATGGGGCACTGAGGCATTGTCATGCCTCGCCCCGAATTCCATAGCCCATAAGCTCCTTAACATAATTCCCAACCTCCTCAGTCCCCTTACCTCCTCAGCCCACTTCCCTGAACCCCTGAGAACACTCCCAACGCCCCGCAAACCTCCTCACTGCTAGGACAACCTCCATGACCCTTAGTTCCCCTCAATGCAACCGAACCACTCCACGACAGGGTCCTGGAACCCTGCACATACGCCCATCATTCCGTCCTCCTGTCCGTCCTCATGTACTTAGAAACCCCATTAAGTGCCCGTTTCGTACTATGTCTCTTTGTTGACTTCCCTATACGTATTTAATCAGTCCAGTAGCGTCCAGAAGCCCAGCTTGGTATATTTTGAACACACACCCTTTACATAGGTCCAGTCCCTGTCCCTTTGTACCTGCTACCTATACGGAATTCTCTTTACTCTCTGTTTCTCTACCTCTGTTTCTCTCTACTCCTGTCTATTGTCTCTCTGATCGTCTATACGATCGAATATACGCTTTTACTTCGAGTCTAAGCCTTCCGAGTGAGTCTCTGAGCTCCCTCGAACGTTACTGAAGCTCCCCAATGCCTAAAACGCTTTGGTGAGTTACCCTTCCCCAAACCTCCCAGAGCTCCCTAGCTACTTCGTAAGCTTCGGGACCTCGATCTAGGTAACGTTGAAGCTACCCCTCACGTCGAACTACGTACTGCTTCTCCGTTACTACCTCCCACACTCGAGGACGTCCATCCTCAAGCCCAGTCCCCAGGGACCTACCCTCCCTGGCACATCCCTTCTCGGGAGCTTACACCCTCGAGACCCATTTACACATACGACCTACTCAATCATATATTGACGTTCTAGCGAGTACAACTCCTACTACGCAATATCGTATGGTCCCGCACTCTTCCTTAACCTCCCTACGCCTTAGGGACCTCCCTGGACCTCCTAGGGACCCCTCAAGGGTCACCATCTCGTCGTTCCAGCCACTACTAGGTCATTCCCGCCCTCGGTCGCGGTTCTCGTAGCTCCCTTCGAGCTCCAGCCTGCTCCTAGCATGCTACAACATAAACCTCCACATACCAAAACCTACCCTAAGGCCTATTTTGACCCAGGTCTTACAGGCATGGACTTGACATGATCACCACATCCGGGTCTGTGACACGGTTGAGGAAGGGAAACATAGCTTTGGAATTTTCTAATGCAACAGTTTCACTAAGGAATTATCAACAATGAGGCAATCATAAGAAAAGCAAGCTGTATGCACATAATTTCAATTAGAAATGGCAGCGCAGGCTATGAAGTTCTGAGAGAGACCTTGACTGGGGGACTTGCCACAGCATACCTGCTAAGGCAAAGATCAAAGGGCAGAAGCAAGAGCATATTTCTGAAATACTAAAGCAGGCATTCAACAACAGGTGCAAAAAAACCGATGAGCCATTGAACTGCGCAGGGCGAGATGAGACGGTTAATAAAAACCTCAAAGCAACCACGGCAGAAAGATTTAATGCAGCCGGAACAGATATCTTGAGCATAATTATTATTGGGAAGTGTGAAATTGTGCAGATATTGAAATAGACGCTCAGCTCCTGTCAGCACAAGGCGCTGTCTCCCCCGTACTGCACCCATATCTCTTTTCTCTTTCTATCTCATTCTGTCACTCTGGCGAGAGTGAACTAGAGTGAACTAAAAGACCTTGTAGCATATTATGATTTGGTAGCTAATAGTCTTTCTACATCCCAAACAAAACCTTGCTCATTTTTATAGATATTAGTAACCTCATTTTTATACAGGTTGGGGTCTGTCATCGCAACGTACAAGTCATCCCAAGATTTTGTGATACCATTGTTTTGATGATCTATGGCTTCTTGAAATGTTGCACTCTGAAAGTTTTGTACCCGTCTTATGACCTCGTTGGTTGCCTGGAGGTAATTATCAGCAGCAAGTGCGTGAAGGTCTCTCTAGAGTTCCGTATTCCTCCAGCCAGTAGATTTTTTTCCCAACCTCGAGCATTTTAAATGTGAGTGTTCCTAAAAAATGCATGCTCATATGCCGGATCTCATTTTTATACTCTCCATTTACCAATTTCCGGTCTAATTCTCCTTGCGAATCTCTAAGTCTCGTTTAGCACCGAAAATCAAGAAGACTGTCTCGACTGGATTCAGCATGTCGTGACTAGTATATCCTGGGCCACTACTTTTGCCAAACACCCGCTTGGCCTAAACCCAAACTGGTTTGCCTAGAATGTTTTGGAGCATTTTAGAACTGACAATGAAGTCAGAGATGAAGAGGGCTGACCAGGGCGACGTCGTTCGAGCTGCTCCAGTTGATCTCCAATGTTACTTGATGTCACGGGTATGTTCATAACCTCAAGGAGAGATGAAAAGAGGAGAAGTGCTGAGAATAAGCATTGCAGTAAAACAGTCATAGCAGCACCAATGAATCTCGAGTTGAGAGAAAAGCTCCCCAGGTATGTGCCTCATCATTCATCAAATCATATAAAACACAGAGGTGTACACCAGCGAAAACGGCGTTGATAATTGGAGTCAATGAAAGGATATCGTAAAGTTAGATGATCACTTTTAGCAATAGCAAAGATGGAGCAGTGGGGGAGCGGATAATATCCAACATACCGAACTAGTGTTATCTTGGTGGGTGATGAATAGGTAATGACTGTGAGGTGAGAATGGTCATCCGATTGTTCTTATAGCCCGAGTAGCACACAAAAAAGTCCTGCTGGCAGTCACCTCACCATCTAATTCTGCTGGGAACATATGCTGCACAATGGAGTGCTCATAAGTGCGCATGCATTAAAGTACGTTACTCAGGAACCTGCATCAAGACTCAAGACAGGTACTTTTAGGTATTTCTGTGGCAAGATATCAATAAGTAGTGTTAAAAGCGATAAAGATAGTAAGTAAATGTTTCTTCGTCAGAAAGTTCCGGCTTCTCAGCCTTTTCCATCTCTTTCGATATTCCAACCTCTTCCTCCTAAATGCCATTCTTTCTTTTACCTTGTTCAATCCTTTGAAGATAACAATTATCTTACTGTTATTCCGGAGCGAAGCAAAACACCTTCATACATCATTCATGATCTGCTTTTAGCTAACAGTTTTTCTACATTCCAAATTAAACCTTTCTTGTCTCCAGATAAGTCTTCAACCTTCTGTTTATACAAAGCAGGATTCGTCATCGCAAGGTACAGGTCATCCCAAACATTTGTAGTACCATCATGGCTGTCAATTTCCTGGAATGTTACACGATCAAGGTTCCGTAACCGTTTCACGACCTCATTGATCGCCTCCAGGTGATTATGAGCAGCAGATGCTTCAAGGTCCTTGTAGATTTTCGCATCCTTCCAACTATTCCCAAACCCCAATACAGACTGTTCGGCCTCGAATATTTCAGAGCTGAACAGTCCTAGAACAACACATCCTGTCGCAGATCTCATACTTATCTTCTCCATTTTCCAATTTCCATTGTTGTCCTGGTGGGGATTGAGGCCTTGTGAAGCACCAAAGATTAAAATAATCTCCTCTTGCGGATCAAGCTTGTTAAGTTGGATGCCCCAACTGGTATAACGGTCACTTTTCTTGAACACACGCTTGGCGTAAATCTTCACTGGGATACCTATTGAGAATCATGTGCACTATTAGAGCCTTACACAATGAGGGTGCAAGATGAACAGGGCTCACCATTAGCACGTCGTTCAAGCAGTTCCAGTTTATCTCCGGTGTTAGGCAATGTCAGGGGTACAGTCATAACTCCAAGGAGAGATGAAAAGAGGAGTATCATGGAGAAGAAGTGTGTGAGAGATTGCAATAAAACAGTCATATTGGTAATGACGAGCTTCGAGTTGAAGGACAAACTTTCCAGGTATTACGAGTCAATTTCCGATTAATATGTACAAAGTAATAATACACACTAGGAATGAATAATGCTTAGAGCTTGAAGCTTGGAGAGCGGTAATTGACAGTAAGATTGAGCTCACGCTGCATTGAATTGTTAGTCTCGACTCTCATGGCTGATTTGGTCATGTAGAGATAATCAACTCACAGGTTTTTGCAGGACAGCAACAGTGGGGAGGGTACTAGATTCAACCAGCAAATCTGTTTGGACAAAGTGTAGATGACTTGGTAACTGGAGCCAACGAAAGAATGTTAAAGTCAGACGGCAGCAAGGGAAGAGGTAGAAGCACATAGTGATATTCAACATACCGAACCAGCGTTATCTTGGTGAGTGGAATGTCAAGGCGAGGAAACTTGAAGGACGCGAATCGCAGTCCGACCAATTTTATAGACAAAAAAAAGTCCCGATGGCTGTGACAGTGTAGATTGACACACTGACAGTGTCGTTTGGTACATGTTGGGCCCTGATGAGGCAAATATGTAGAGATAGATAAAGATTAGGCCCCACTGTTGTGGACTGCAAACCTTGCTTGAGATCAAAAATGCGGCGCGCATAGGGCGCCCCGCGAGGTGAGGTGTCCAATTATAGCAAGATGATTGAAGTGGTTTGGCTGATAATGCTGAAACCAAACACAGCAAAAATGTGCATGCACATCAAGAGGTCAAATACCGAGTGGAATAGACCTTGCAAGCAAGGTGATATGTAGATACGCGGCTCCGCCTAAGGCGAGGTTCCACAAGGGAACAGCCTTAGAACTTCTCGGGATTGACAAGAATTTAACAATGTCGCATGGTTTTTTTTACGATATCTATATCGCTCTAAGTATATCGCAACCCCAATCCATTTCCTCCAATACTCATTCCAAACCCGGTTAAAACAATAGCGCATTGTAAACCAAGAAAGCATCCCAGGAGTCAATTAAAGTACTGTTTGAGCTACTCGTCCAACTGTAATTACGATGGGTAGGATGGTGAAATGATCACGGGCAAGGTTTTCTCCTTCCGGATAAAACCCGGAAGGCACGGAGGGTGATCCATAACATCTCTATCCATCTTGTATTTTGAAAATGTCTGAAAGACTTATGGATAATCATTGATCTTTTCATCCTCTTCATATGATTCTACCTGTTTCAGTTCCCTGTCCGATTCCATTTGTTCAGCTTCGGCTTCTTCACTCAAATCCATGCCCAATTCCATTCCGGATTCCTGTTCATATCCTCCCATCATCCATGATTCCCTTTCATCCGCTTTCACCCTCATATCCTCCTGTTCTCTTATCTCCTCCCATTCCTCCTCCACCATCCTCTCCTCTACTGTATCCCTCTCCTCCTCGACCATCTCCCGATAACTCTGCTCGATACCGTCCATGTAGAACTGCATCTTCCACATTGACCCTAGGGTAAAGTGGGCATAGTCAAAGGCGGTGGCAATATATGGTGTGGTGATATATGGTGTGGGTTCCGGTGAGACTGGGAAGAAAGAGCTGAGAGTGCTTTCATCATTATCGGGTCGTATATCACCAGTACCCCTTCCCTGACCACCTCTATACCCACCCCGTCCTCCTCCTCGACCTTTTCCCCGCCCACCCACGAAAACACGATGCGGCATCTTCGGCTGCCTCGCACTGAAATGTGTCAACAACACATTCTCCGCACCCATTCTCCGTCCAATATCTATCGCCTGACCAACAGTACTATGCGCTTTCGCAGCGGCCATATCAGCTTGGGCATCAGACATTGTCGCTTCGTGAATTAGGAGGGTTATCTGTTCATTTTTTACCTTCTGATCAGCCCTCCACTCCCTTCCCGGGTTCCCCTTTATAACATTCTTCGCAGCATGTACAAGATTATCCGAAGGCATAGTGTCCCCCGAAAAGACGATACTCCACCCGTCCTTGCTGTGGATGATACACCCATAACAGCGCGTGCGGTGGCGGACGTCGACGGTGGTGAAAGAGTGTAGATTGAGTGCACGGCAGAGGACAGTGATATGTCCGCGGGATCTATGGTTAAGATAATTTTGAGAAAACGATTGACAGAGAAAAACAAACTCGCCACATACGTCTTCGAATCCAGCCACTCTTCCGTTCCACCTACACTCCACATCCCTTGCGGGGTGTATACTTGTGAGTAATTCCAATGTAGAGCTGGTGAGAGGACTGTGATCACCCCATTTCCTTTCCCTCTATCGACATCTACCCCCTCAATCCCCAATCCTTCCAAATCACACACCTCCCTCAGATACAAATGCACTCCTCTCACTCCAACCAAATAAACTGGATCTTTTGGCGGAGGATTTAGCGCCTGGCGCATAGCGAGGATTTTCGCGAGCCCGAGGTGGTGGTCGGCGTGGAGGTGGGAGATGTAAATGAGTTTGAGGGAGCGGAGGAAGGCGTCGACACCTAGAGTTTGTTCTTCTGGTGATTGGGAAAGGGATGATGAGGTAGTAGGGGTATGTGTAGATGAAGCTGTGCCGAACACTCGACACAGTTGTCCCCAAGTGCCTTCCCCACAATCTAGCAGGATATTCCCCCATTCAGGAATTTGGATGACCGTAGCGGAGACTATGAAGAATAATTAATGAAAAGGATGTCAGATAATAAACCTGGTGTATCGCTTGCCATTCCTATATTTGCCCGGAACCGCGCTACCTGTTCCAAGCGTTATAACACTGACATATCTTCCCGCATTTTTCTTCTCTTTCTCCTCAAATACCGACCTTTTCCTCCCCTTCCAACCTTTCAATATATACCTCAATCTATTCAACTCCCTCGCCTCCAGTGCATTAAGTATTGCCTGGTCCAAAGGCATCTTCAATTTACTGGATTCGCTTGCACTTAATGGTGATTCGGATGTTCCTTCCTCCTTGTCTTTTTGCTTTTCCTTCTCCGCCGCAGCTTTCATGCTCTGGAACATCTCTATCATATCTAGTCTCTCCATCGCTTCTGCCATCTCTTTCTCGTACCGCCAAGCCAAAGATCGTGCATACCTGAATGCGATCGCCGTGCGCTGTTTCAGAATCGGGTTGTTCTTCAACGGGAGATGGAGGGAGTGGGTGTCTATCTTCAGTCGGCTTACTTTCAGCGGCGGGTTCTTGGGATTTGGGAACTTTGGATTGGGGGGTCCATCCATTTCACTGTCATTTTTCCCACCCGATTTTTTTACCCCCTTTTCTTCCTCCTTTCTAAGTAACTCTCTCAAGCTACTCAAGAGCGAGAAGCTTTTCCCTTCCCGTTCCCGTTCCAAGTCCGGTGCCAGTTTCCTGGCCCGTCTTCCGCTTTTTCGAGAAGAAGGTTTTCTGTCCGTACTTGTGTCCCCGTTGGCATCCGCGTTCGTATTGAGCATCGTAGAAGAATTGTTAAGTAATTTTAGTTCCATAGACGTAAAACTCTCAGAACTCTTTTGCGACACCGCATCTTCAGTGTTCCCGCCATTTTCACCACCAGCGATGGTGATGGTGGTGACGATCGAACCACCTGAACCACCCGGATCCGATTCCCAAGATTCCGCAGACCCAAGGGTAGCAGTGCCTTGGGGAACACTTTTTACCCCACCACCGACATCGTCGTCCCGAAGCTCAACTGGAGGAGGATCAAGTGCAGGGGTGTCCACAGTGTTCAGAGTATCGAGAAGATCCATTGTATTCTCAGCTGACGTATGGGGAATAGCAAGGACTTGCTCAGCCTCTGAAGTAGGAGCAGCAGAAGTATGGATAGGATCAGATACAGAATCAGCAGAGCCCGTGAGGAGGCGACCAAAATCAGAATCAGAATCAGAACCGGAGGTGGAACCAGAAAGAGAGCGAAAACGAGACTCCGAACCGCGTCCATAGGATTCAGCTTCAGCTTCAGCAAGAAGTCGGTTCCTAATCTTCGCAACTGCAGGATGGAACCTGTCCCATTCTTCTCCCTGTGGAGTATCAGCGAAAGCCGCCCAATCCTCGTTTTGCGGAGGACCCAGAGGACGCATGGGGATTATGCTGTGTGCTGTGAGGAGAGTGGTATGTTTGGGAAGTTTGGGAAGTTCCGGGGATGGGGGTATTTGAGAACCAAACGAGATAGTGTCCTGTTCTTCCTTTTCCCCCTGTTCTTCCTCCTTCATGTCTTCTTCTAACACCCTCCTCGGCACCAACCCAAATTTCGGCACTCTAAACATCTTTGGATCGAGCTGCGCGAGCTTCAACTGCTGATACGCCGACGAGGTGAACGTTACCGGATCCGGAAGGTACGAGGGAGAAGAGATTACGTGGTGTGGCTGGGAGAGAGAAATAATGTTATAAAATAGACGCGAAAACAAGAAAGAAGCAATTGATGAACTTACATGTACCCCGGGATATTTGAGTTCATTTTCGAACAACCCATACTCCGCAGACTCGTCCATATTTGCCGGGACAGCCTCCGACGTCCCAACTCTTTCAAACCCAGCCATGAAAGCCCTATATCTCGGGTCTTCTAATACACCGTCCCCGATAAGGTGGATGATTGTGTGGAGGGTGAATTGGGTTTCTTTTTGGGTTGATTGCTGGCTTTGATTTTCTTGTTGTTCGGGCGGGAGGTGGAACCGGGGTTGGGACTCAGTGGTAGGAATGGTGGAAGCTACAGGGCTATATCCACACCATTGCGCATACGCGCTTCCTTCCCTGAACGCTTCTAGCAGAGAAGGTATGTACTCTGGAGTGGGGATGTCGAGAATTAGAGCGGCCTATTGAACGTTGGTTATAGCAATGAACGAACGAACAAATAAAAAGAGGCTACTCACCGCAGGAGGTATACTCGACGCTACAACATCCTCCGGTCGAACCGTCACCCATCTTTCGCCTTCGTTTGCATCAACGACGACACCAGCGTTTGCTCCTTTCTTTTTCTTCTTCCCCTTTCCATGAGTCTGAGCCCTGACCGCCCTCCCATTGTTGTCAACGAGAAACCTCACAGTTTCCCCCCTTGTCAATGCACCCCTCAATGGTCCATTGGGTACACCAAGCTCTTCAGCTTTGCGGGCATCGAATTTACCTCGGGTCAGTGGGCCGACGGCAAGATATGAGAGTGATAAAGCGGAAGGTGGTAGGGCTTTTTGGTTTTCGGAAAGGCTAAATCTCGGCAACTGCTTATGGAAGCCGGTCACAAGCATCGGACGTCTATATTCATCTGGTTCTTCTTTTTCTTCTTCTTCTCCTCCATTCCGAGTTCCAGGTCCCGTATGTACACTAAACTTTGACACGTACGATTTGTTCGCATAGTTCCAACTTCTTCTAGCAGAAGAGGAAGGGGAAGACGTGGAAGTAGAAGTGGAGGGAAGAGTGGCGGAATCAATGGAAGAGGAGGAATTAGGAACAGGAATCGCTTTACCCTTAGCATATTTACTCTGTTCACTATTGTTAGTGGCTGGTAATTCAACTCCCTTCGAACGAGGAAACATGATCGCCACCATCATCTCGCGCCACTCTTGTGCCTGTGCGGGTGTCAGGGTGGATAGCGACTCGGGGGTGAAGGAAGGCGTGGAGAGGAGGTTGGCGAGGGGAATTGGGGGAACTGAGGCGTCGGACATGATAATATTACTATCCTGCATATCCAAAGCCTCTTTTGTGACCTGAACGCGTTTTCTAGGAGGCTCTTCATGTCCTTCTTCAAAGTCGTCGGCATTCGCACCAGCAACAATATTAGTGGCATCGTCACCAACGCGTTTACGTTTGAGATCGTTAGACGCAGCGAGCGGGGCGGCGGCGACATCGAGGTATATAGGCGTTATAGGTATCCCATACACCGTCAGATTCCCATCTTGAAATATTGGTTCAGGACTACGACGCTCTGTGACAAATTCGTTGAAAGGTAGCTCGGTTGATAAAACTGAGATATTTTTTCTAGAAACAAGTAGAACTTTTCAATCATTGTTTTTTTGGGGGAAAAATTAGCAAAAGCCCACCTATAAACAAAAGACCGCTGCGTAGCCAACAGATGGTTTACCCCAGGTGGACCAATAACTTTCACTGGGTATTTTGGATCTCCATCCGCGAAAGACATCAATAATGAAGATAATCCCCCTACACGATCCCTAGGACTTCCTTTAAATTCCCCAGACCCACTAAATCCACGGGGGATCGCCATTCCCCTCCCCACACCAGTCAAAAAAACTGCCCTCGTCCCATTCCAGCTCATCTTACTCTGTGTGAACGCGCGATTGGTGTTTTCTCCAACGTTGAATATATATTTTGCTCCTCCTCCTGAGCCCTGCACCGTGTCCGGCCCCTGCTCAAACGAAAACACCACACACGGATCCGTGTCAGAAGATACCGTCGATAGAAATTGGATACTCCAATTCGTTGGTGTTGAATGCGCCATTGGGTTTCCTGGGTATGGTATTCGTTGCTGTGGAGGTGATATAGTGTAATCTGAGGACCGCGAGAACGTGGTCGATGTCGAGATCGTCGAAGCCGGAGACACTGAGCCCAACTTCCAACTGGTGATAGATTGTTGTAACGATAAAGATATCGCTTTTTGCGAGAAAAGAGTATGAATCGACCAACGTGGATTCGGAAAAGCCGAGAGCGTAGTGTTCTGGCTGGTCAAGTAATTCCTCAGGCTGTAGTTGTTGTCGTTCAACCTAGAGCATCGTCGGATTTTCAATCCCGAGAACACATGGGATGCCAGTTTTTTCTCCTCTTCCTTCTTGCTGAAACAAATTCTTCTTTTCTGTGTTGCAGGAGTTCCTCTGCCTCATGTAGCTCAGCTTATTTTCGAGTTGTAAAGTTCAATGAGGCAAGTGACGAACAAGAAAATATTGAATTGGATATTCCTATCTTATCTATATCTATGTATGTGTACGTGCGCTAGTAAGTCAGTTTTTCTGTTTGAATTTTTTCTCTTCGTACCTCTTATGTATAACATTTTATAGGCTCTCAGATCTCAGGCCCAGGTTTCCAACAATGGCAAACTTGAGCACTAAACGAGACGCCGAGTTTGGATATTCACTCAAGTTCCAACTAAGCGCCCTCCTTGCCCAAGACTGGGCCCGGTCGCGTGCTGTACTTCTCTCTGAGTATAGACGGTACCTCAAATCTCAAGGATGGAGTAATCGCAGTAAAACAGTAAAAGTACAGTAGTAGTGCGAATAATAGTGAATTGGCCAGGATATACAGGCATAAGAGGCACCGCCAAATTCCCATCTTTGAACGTCGATTCTGGAAGATTCTGGATCTTTCTGAATCCAGAAATGCCAGGGCCTACCAGGGATGTATTGTCGGAACGAGGACTTTATAGGCGAATAGGCGAAAGATAACCAAAATAGTGACAGCCTGTAACAGCAGTGAAAACACAACGAGAAATAACTCACCTACACATGAATGTCTTCTGCGTGTAACCAATAAAACGCTCACCATCGTCCATCTGCGAATCTATACTACAAACGAAGGTTTGAGACAAACTTGACATCTGATTGGCCGGATATTCGGATTGGCTGATCAATTGATCAAGACCCGCTTGATTTCAACCATCGTTGTTGCTGTTTAACGTTTCTCGACTTCATTGATGTCATCGACGGCTCTCGAAAGTTCTATCCTGTCCGCACGCGGCGCAGCGCTCATTGCCCACTAAAGTTAGCTATGGTTTCACTCTCCTGCTTGACTACTATCTATTGACAAAATGATTCCTTCCACTCCTTCAAGATTACCATTTCGTGATCTCCATTATGCTCTTAACACGCCTCAAAGACAGCAACAATGTGTTCGGGCTGCTATCCGGGATGCACATATCAATATTGAACTATGCCAAACACCTCCACGGAGAAGAAGGATTGCTCAAGCAGTTGAGCCACTCGCTCCAGTGGCCAGATGTTTATTCACAAATGATCGCTCTGGCAGTCATATTCGTGATACTCCTCGTGATTGTATTCATCAACAGGTGTGTGTTCTGAATATATATCTTTCTCTGTTGAACATTACTCATTTGTTATGGTTCATAGTCCGGGCCTACAGTCCAAATTCCACCCCCTGTTTCTACTTTTCCATCTAAAACTGTTGACAATCGTACTTCAGCTCAGCGCATGCGCCGCAAACGTGAAGCTGCTGAGAAAGTGAGATCAAGGTCTACCATAACTGGTACAAGGATTCTGCTGCCGCCGGACTCTATGGTATGTAATCTGTTCACTTAATCTCTCGCGACTTTCATCCAATAGCTCTGACTCTTTGTACCATTCAGCCAACTTCTTGCCCTACTCAGACAACTCCTCGCACCAATCAGCTGACTCCAATCAATGGGCCAATATCTGCCCGTTCACGCCAAAGAGAATGCTGCCATCATGAACGTGAAGAACACCTCTGCCTACATTTACCATCAGGCAAGTATTCCCTTATTCTCCTCTTCTACCAAAATTAGTTTATCCCCTCTGCCCAGCTCAATACTCCACCAATTGGCCACCCCGAGAACAGATTATTCAACTTCGGACCCCTGCTTCAAGTCATCAAGGTCAGTTACACTCACAGAATTTGATATACAGATGCTGATACTTAAATCTCCTCAGTCTGCAGTTTGCGATCACACCTATCACAAGCTTCAAGTCTACATCAAGGGCGCAGGCAGTCGGTTAGAGCAACAAGAGGTAAATGGCTCTTCATTTGCAAAGTTCTGTAATCTAAGTTTCGAGAACAGGTATAGAGGAAAATATTGGTCTGTCTACTCCTCGCGACACTCAGTTGACCGTGAACCATGGTTCAACATCTGCACGTTCAATTGCACAAAGAGAGCGTCGCCGTCGTGAACATGAAGAACGTCTCCGTCGTGAACATGAAGAACGTCTCCGTTGTGAACATGAAGAACGTCTCCGTCATGAACATGAAGAACGTCTCCGTCGTGAACATGAAGAACGTCTCCGTCGTGTCGACAATGAACTCCCTCCTTTCCCTACTAGTGATATGGACAAAAGTCGGCCACCATGCCAACCTTCTCAGTGTCCGTTGCCACCTCTCGGGCATCTTAATGAGTGTAAGTCTGTTCTAAAGATTCATTTTATCTGTCTTGCGAGGTCACAAATCCTGTAGGCAATAATCCTGGTTTTGCACCTGACTATACTATATTTCTCAACACAACTGGACTTTTCTGTGCTGCACGACGTCCATATGTTGAGCCCATTGCCCGACATGACCTTGGAAGGATGGAATATGCCTGTGCACATTGCAGTGCTCTTCACTGGCTTGACGAGAAAACCACCAATTCCCTGCGCCACTGCCCAGAATTTGGTATGTGCTGTAACCATGGACAGGTACAGCTGCCATATCTTCAGCCTCCACCTGCATATCTTTACAACCTCTTCACATCGAATGATGGACAAGCTAAAAAATTTCGTGACAATATCGTTCAGTACAATTCTGCTTTGGCTTTCACATCGGTTGGCGTAAAAATAGATAATACAGTCAACTGTCATGGGCGGGGGCCTCCTGTATTCCGTATTCATGGTGAATTGAAACATTGGTCTGGGGCATTACTGCCTCGCGAAGGAAGTCCACCTGCTTATGCACAACTGTACATCCTTGATCCTCAGACTGCTCTTCAATACCGAATGCACCACAACGAGAACCTTCACCATGAGACAATGCTAGCACTACAAAATCTTCTTCAAGCAGTCAATCCATATGCAAGGGCTTATTTACATGCATATGAGATTCTTTGTAAATATCCAGATGCCAGAGATCTGTCAATTCGGCTGCGTATCATGCCTGGTCAAGACCGAAGGAGGTATAATCTCCCTACTGCTGATGAGGTCGCCGTTGTTGTCCCTGGTGATGGGACACAAGTTGTGGACACTCGTGACATTATTTTGTCTCTTCGTCCTAATGCAGAGGGGTTTGGTTGTGGGGCTCTGCAGAGAGTCAATGATGGTAATGCAGCTTATGCACCCCTCCACTATGTTCTTCTCTTTCCATATGGAGAATTTGGGTGGCATTGGGAACTTCGATTATACCAGCCGGACCGAGCACAACCCAAACGCCTTTCGCAGACCCGATATGCAGCATTTCGACTCCAAGTTCGACCACCAACAATCGAATTTTCTGCCCTTCTGCATGCTCGACGTCTCCTCCAGCATTATATTGTTGATCTTTGGGCAAGTGCTGATCAAAACCGTCTCAATTACCTCCGCCAGAATCAGCGGAGGCTTCGAGCTTCTCTATACAGTGGTCTAGAGGATGCTTTATCCCGAGATGTCACTGTTGACTTAAATGCTATTGGTCAGCGCTATATACTTCCCTCTTCTTACATTGGTGGTCCTCGGCACATGTATCAACGTTTTCAAGATGCAATGGCTATTGCTCGATACTTCAAAAAGGTTGATATCTTTCTTACAATGACTGCCGATCCTACTTGGAATGAGATTCGCCGGGAACTACTCCCAGGTCAGACAGCAGCAGACCGTCCAGACCTGGTTAGTCGTGTATTCCGACTGAAACGAGATGCATTACTTCAAGATGTCAAAAAGCATGGGGTATTTGGTCCTGCTGTGGCATATATCTATACCATTGAGTTCCAGAAACGTGGTCTTCCTCATATGCACCTCCTTATCTTCCTTCGCCATGGATACAAGCTCACATCCCCATCAGCTATTGACACTGCAATCTGGGCGCGTTGGCCTGATCCTGAGAAGGAACCACAACTGTTTGAGGTAGTGAAGCGGTGTATGGTTCATGGTCCCTGTGGCACTTTTAATCCTCAAGCTCCGTGTATGGAGAATGGAAAATGTACAAAGGGTTTTCCAAAAGCTTTTCAGTCATACACATCAATGGATCAGGATGGGTATCCTCTGTATTATCGTCCAGATGATGGACGTGCATATCAGGTTGGTCCACATCTAATAACCAATCAATGGATTGTGCCCTTCAGCCCATACCTCTCAGTGCGTTATGAATGTCACATCAATGTTGAATGTGCAGTGTCATTCAAGACTGTCAAATACACAGTCAAATACATCAACAAAGGTGGTGATCGTGGTACACTCATGCTGGAAGGGCTTGATGAAATCAAGCAGTTCATTGAAGGCCGCTACTTTTCTGCATCAGAAGCAATTTGGCGGATCTTCCACTTTGATATTCATGATCAAGCACCCAACATTGTCCGTCTTCCTGTTCACATTGAAGGTCAACATCTGGTGACATATGATCCTAATGAGGATCTAGAATTGCTTCGAGAGCGAATTGGTTCCGAAAAAAGTCCATTGGTTGCATTTCTTCAGGCAAATGCAGATCCTGGTCCAATTGGCTATCTTGCCCGAGAGTATACATATCAAGAGTTCCCACAACACTTTGTTTTAAAAAATAATTTATGGTCCATCCGTAAACAAGGGTTTGCTCTTGGACGGATGTACTATGTCCCACCTAATGCCGGTGAACGTTTCTATTTGCGAACTTTGCTGACTGTGGTTAAAGGACCACGTTCCTGGGAGGAAATTCGCACATATCATGGAATTACCTACTCCACATATCGTGAAGCCTGTCTTGCCCGTGGATTGCTGGAGGATGATGGAGAATGGCACGTTGCTTTGGAAGAAGCTTCTGCAATGCAGACTGGAGCAGCCCTGCGCCAAATGTTTGCTACTTTACTCTTATTTTGTAACCCTCAAAAGCCTGGAGATCTGTGGAATGAGTTCCGTTCTCACATTTGTGATGACCTTGCTTATCATCTTCACACTATGGGTTTACCAAGTCCTTCTGAAGAAGACACTTTTGACTATGGTTTGTACCTCCTTGATATCATCCTACAGGAGTCTGGCCATTTCCTTGATGAATTTGATGGTATGCCATTGCCGCAGCAGGACTGGTCTGTTCAGGTTGACAATCCATTTATCAGGGAACAGCTGGATTACAACCGAGAAGCAGAACAACACAGGGCAAATACCAACTATGCTCTTATGGAGACCAACCCGGAACAACAACAGGCCTTTGTCAAGATATTGGAATCCGTTGAGAAACAAAGTGGGAAACTTTTCTTTCTCAGTGGACCTGGAGGTACTGGAAAGACATTCGTGTATAAAACCATCTGTAATGCCGTTCGTGCACGAGGGTGGATTGTGCTTTGTGTAGCTTCGACAGGAATTGCAGCTCTTCTACTGGCTGGTGGTCGCACTGCACATTCCATGTTCAAAATTCCCATTGATGGTCTCACTGCTGAGTCTTTTTGCAATATACCCAAACAGAGTCAACGAGCAGACCTTATACGATGTACTCGACTTATCATTTGGGATGAAAGTCCAATGCAGAACAAGTTTGCATTTGAGGCGCTTGATCGAACATGTCAGGATATTCGTGATGATAACCATCCATTTGGTGGTATCACAGTTGTCTTTGGAGGAGACTTCCAACAAATACTCCCTGTTGTTGTCAAGGGGTCACAGGAAGACATTGTATCTGCCTCTCTTCGACGTTCTCACCTTTGGGAACAAGTTGAAGTTCTTCAACTTCAGCGTAACATGCGTCTTGAACTGGGCTCTGAAGAGCAGGATTTTGCTTCCTGGCTTCTGGATATTGGACATGGTCGTGGTCTCCCTACTAATGACAACACTATTCAGCTCCGTGATGGAATGCGCACTGAATCTCTCTTTTCATTGATCAATGAAATCTATCCAAATATTGCTACCCTTCCAACGGCCCCACCTCCTGAATTTTTCCTCGAACGGGCCATACTCGCTCCAAGGAACTCAGACGTTGATGCAACAAATATGGAAATACTCACTCAAATGTATGGGGAGGAACGTGTGTACCTAAGTGCTGATTCAATTGTCAAAGAGCAGGGTGCAGATGGTCCAGATGATAACGATCCAATTCCACCTGAGGTTCTCCGCTCACTCGGTGGCTCTGGTCTTCCGCCAGGTGAATTACATGTCAAACTGGGTTGTCCATTAATCCTCCTTCGAAATCTTGCCCCTGCCCAAGGACTATGTAATGGTACACGGATGATTCTCTTGCGCAGTTCTGATCGTGTTCTGGAAGTTAAAATCATTGGGGGGGACCGCCATGGCCAGGTTGCACTAATTCCACGAATCACTTTGATTCCCTCCTCCAAAAATGCAGAATTCACTTTCATGCTCAAACGTCGGCAGTTTCCTGTGCGCCTGGCATATGCTATGACTATTAACAAGTCCCAGGGTCAATCACTTAGGCATGTAGGTCTTGATCTGCGCATTCCCGTATTTACGCATGGTCAACTTTACGTGGCATTTTCGCGGGCAACATCCGGGAGACACATTAAAGTCTTACTACCATCAGACAATATTGACTCTCGAACTCCTAATATTGTGTTTCCAGAAGTATTGTTGGATTAATTTGGGTTTCAAGTAGCACAGTGCTTATTTGTATAATAAGATAGATAAATATATGGTTATATAGAATGATAATGCAAGAATGTTGGTAGAAACACTACTATTGCTGCAGTGACACTCGGCAACTGCTGTTATCAACACCGCTGGAAAGCTGCCTTCCAATGTTGTCAATAATGGCAGTTGCCGGGCATTACTATGTATAATTCATATCCTATCCTACGATGTTATAGCATGATCCACACTGGCAGGTAGGTGTTTTGCTAATTAGAAAAACTCATAGCAACAATTAACCAAAATTCTGTCCTTGTAAGGCAACCGAGGAACTTCAAACTATGGAGCTCACATGATGAATCCCACTGTATCTCCGACGTGCCTCCAGTAGTGGAAAGTTCAGGCCTCAATTCTCTACAAAAGGTTCAAGCTTAGCGGACTAGCACCAAATTCACCCTCGACAACTTTTCTGATATGAGCAAGCTTTCTGGCACTGCTACTCTCTCTGCTATTACTGTGTTGGAAAGTCCTCGGGTTATTGACAAGGGAAAGACTATCCTTTTTGATGCTCATCTCTTCTTTTATGATGATCCTGAGAGCTCGAGCAACGCATTAATGCTATTGCGGTACTATAATGACCAAGATCTCACCTTTGATGAGGTTGGGACATACCTCATTCACGCCAATGTATGTACTTTCTTGATTATTGAGATTGAGTTATAAAGCTCTAAATCATTCCCCAGATTGCACGAATGGAAAACATTATTGAGTCAAGGCAACTTTCCCAGGACTTGGAAAAGAAAGACTATGTGCTGGTAGGAGATGTGATTCAAGTGCGCCTTATAATTTCTTAATTGTTACTTTGACTAACGATTGGTGTAGCTCATTCCACTCAATGAGCAAGTGAACCCAAAGTACCAACCTTTTGTAAACATCAATGGTATCGTGACTTCATGCAATGAGAAGGACCACACATTTCATGTTTCGGCAAAATCGTATGTTCATGTACTCAAAGACCATAAAGATCTTGCAACCCTACCGGTACATTGCTATGCCCCAAAGACAAAACGTTGGGAGGAATATCCACCGCGACCGCGTGTCAATGCCTACGTGGGTGTCGCAGGATTTCTGCACTCACTTCGTCGTCAAAAAGATGGCATGGTCGACCATTTCAATATTGAGATTGATCAAATTGCCTATTTGGGTCGTCCTTATGTTCCATCCACAGGCATGCAAAATATTTCAAGTCCTGTTGCAGGTGCGACGTTGTTGGCTTTGCAGAGGTAATATTTGCACTAACCTTTTTTACAGGAAGTGCATCTCCGGTTACCAAACGAACCCGTTTCAGCTACACTGACAGTCCAACTCAGGCTAAAAAACGGGGCTTCAGTGAATTGCTCTCTGAATCTGGGTCTAGCCAAACCAATACCAGTCCATGATTGTATATACCTCATTGAGTACACAATGTACCAACTGCTCAAGTCACTAGAATTTGCTGAATGAAAACTATAACCTCTCTTGAATCCGTGCATCGCACGGGTAACTGCTAGTGACATAAGAATAAAAATAGAGGAATTTGGCCAGCTGGTGCGTTCCCTCGTTTCTTCCTCAACCTATACCGAGTTAGTAAGTACTCTCATAATCGGAGGCTTGGAGCTAGTTTCACACCAGAGTTGCGCGTATCTAGATCTTTCATCTCCATTCACCATCACAATCCCGGCAAGAAGGGTTCAAATTCTGAGTAGTAAGTGTGGATCGCGTTTTGGGAGGAAGGGTCAATCGCATTACATCCAAAAAACAAAACAGGAGGGTCAGGCAGGTACAAACAATCCTCTCACTACTAAAAGGGTGTCATATACGATGTCGAAACACCTTTGAACCATCACATGAGGTAGGGAAGGGCGAGCCACATCAGCCGGTTGCCACAATTTTGGATCGATGCCCTGCTTTACAAAATAATCGCTGTCAATGAGGCGTTTGCGATAGCTCTCAATACGAAGGTAGAAATCTCCAATGTAGTTGTCATAGTACCACGGGGCACAACAACCTCCCACAATGAAGCCGATGAACCATGCGAATGACCGAGGAAGCGAAAACATAGGGTTAGCTGTTTTAACCGTTGATCCAAGGGGAATGTACTCGAACCACGCAGGGTATGCACCAGCAAAGGCCCAATCAATGAGCCAAACACGGTTATTCTTATCAAGCATAATATTGCGCATGTGCAAGTCGAAATGACAGAACACCAAAGGTAGTGATTGATCAAATTTGCTGTATTGCCAGATTCTCTTAACACCTTGCTGGTGGAGAAGGACTTGGTAACGATGGTTTTGGTGGTCGTGCCAAGCAGCCATAGCAGCATATGTCGAGAACGGACCAGCGCCATAGTCAAAGTGATTGCCCAAACAAGGGAAAGAGCGACCCGTGCCATCGGAAGGACCTGGAATATCCGGTGAAGGAAGGGGAGCTCGATGTAGCTGCTGGATATAGGAACGCAGGGTACAGATAACCTGCAGACGGCGCCACCAACTGAGCTTGGGCCATGCTTCCAGTAAACACTCTCCGTCAATAAAGTCCATGACGAGCCAAAATCCACGATCGCGCGATTCGGGAATGACACGATGAATTTGCGGAACGAGAATTGTTGTATGCTGTTGTACATGCTGCATAGCGTACACCTCAGTCCAAGGGTCGAAGGTGACGAGTTTAGCTACAAGATTATAGGGCTTGAGATGATAGACAGGTGGCGAGCCCATAACGTCAAGGTCTGGCATATAACCGATACCGTCCCGCTTCCCGTTAATGTTTTTTATCAGAGTATAGAGCTCGTCATCAGACATGTTGTCGGTAGCTAGAGGAGAGTGGGACGGCCTTCTGAGAAGAAAGGGTTTGTCATATATTTCGACAGGTTTTGTTCACTCTTACCTGAAGAATAGTTGGTTCATTCCGACAGGCGACAGAAGGCTGAGAAGGTAAAGAGAAAAAAGGGAGATACCCACGTGACCCCGCAACTCGCAAGCGGTAAATCTAATTTACGACGGGTGATGCCATAGATTCACCTTCCTGCAAATGATCCTAAATGACTCTAAATGATCATCACATCCCCCCGTTTTAGACGGAGCCGCGTATCTATCTATCTATCTATCTATCCCTGCGGATAGATTGTTGGAAGACAGAGGTCATAGTATAGACTACATAGGCAGGAAGTTCACAGCTTCGGACTTTGAGAAATACAGAGAGATGTAGTAGGATATGATACAATCTGTGATTTTATAAATTTCAAACCTAATGGAACAGAACAGGACTGAGTTCGTCATATTCATAACCTTCGAATAACACAGTTAGCAGTAGTTAGCCCAGTATGCACATCCTCAAGCTAAGGCTTGCAATTTTCTTTGACATACTGATATACTTATGCCAAGGCTCATATCACATTCTGATTCGCATTAAGACTGGCCATTTTCCACTAAAGCACAACAAAAATGTAGCCTTACATACAGATATACTATGATATCATGTAACAGCTTTAAGAGTACACTTAATAGAACATTCCACCCCTGGGGTTCCCAACCTCGGAGACAACCACCTCAGGGTTATAGGCCTGGATTGCAGCAGCAATTTCCTCGGTTTTTGCAGGAGCATCTTGGGAGAGCCACCCCTTCGTCGCCATATCTCTGACAACAGTCTGGCACCAATAACGACACCCACTTCCAGTGGTAGCGTCAAGCTGATAGCGCTGGCGGCCATTCTCGTTGAAAAGACAATCTAAGACCTGACCAACAGTAATAAAAGTGGCAGCATTGACTACGCTGACATGAAGAAAGGTTAATGGGCGTTGAGAGTAGATGTAGGCATGGTATGCCACCTCGGTAGTTGTGATGAGGCCATTGTGGGCGTAGTTATTGAGTTCGACAGACTCGTGCGGAGATTGCACATCGAGGTACAAAGGTACCAAGATGAGGAACACCCGAAAATGCGCCACCTGAAATGCCTGCTGCTGCTGCACGGTTGCATTACTTCTGACAGCATGGACTGCTATCGCGGAGACCTGACGGCTAGTGGTGTTTTGCTTGAAGTCCTTGATCATGATACGTTCGTCTACGCTGGATTAGTACCTAGAAAGGGGAAAGGGGTTGACAAAAAGACTCACCATTGTGCCATCCTGTGGAGCGGGAACGCCGAGATTCTGCAGCGTCGTGTATGCTGGAAAAAAGTGATTGCATTGCTAGGACACATTTCAAACAGCGGTATGAAGGGATACAGGGCAGAGACTTACTGTATCTAGAACTGAAAGAAAGCTGGAAGAAAACTGGAAGAAAACTGGATCGCGCGCACACTATTTTATATGGCAGCCAAATCTGACAAATAATCAGCTACTTACTTTACTCCCTCGCCTAAGGTGACTCGAGATGGATACTGCATGGAAGACAGCTGACTGCATGCTCTTGAGTGTGTCCTTTGTGTGCCCCCGACTCGAGCATTATTAGGTATTACCACCCTAATTTGGTGCCTCTTGTGCTTTGTGTGTCGATTGTGTGCGCCTCCTGTCGAAGATTGAATTATATCTCTTCCGTCAGGGGAAGATTGACATTGGCTCGAGTGATAGTCTGGGATATATAGTCATTTTGCTCGATTCGGATAGTCAGTGATACTTATCATTTATGTAGTTAGAGATCATCGTAGTATCTCACCTGCCAGGCATTGATAATCAATGCATCAGTTCCAATAACGAGTCATTCCCTGACAGAAAAAAGTGATTTTTGACAGGAAACGCACACAATCGACACACAAAAGCCTACCCAAAGTGCGCGCTTGTACTAGTAGGAGGAGTCACCAAAAGTCCAATTTAGGGTGTCCCCGGTAATACTGGACATTTCGCGTAACTCCCGTGTCTGTCCGAGGGTCAGCATAAACATTGTTCTTGGGGTGAAGGAGGGCGTGGAGAAGACGGTGGTGATAGGGTTGTGGGTTGAGTGGATTGGGTGAGTAAAGGGAGTCATAGGAGTAAGGAGGGTAGATTGAGGGTAGGTGTGTCAGCGTCAACATGGCACATGGGATCTTTGGATGTGGAGGTGATATATCAGTTGTGGAAGTAATGTTAGTGACGGGAGTAGTGTTGAATCGATAGTGTCCGACCTCTAAATTTAGTCACAACTTGAGTTTTCCTTCCGCAACTTGCCTCAATCAAACTACCTCAAACTTTTTCATTCCTCCTGGTCGCAATGGCTAGCCTTCATCCTCTCGCAGGCATTCATGTTTCTCCCATTATCTATTCTGATTCCATTGAATCCTCGAATGTTCTTGGAACACTCTTATGTTGATACAGTGAGCATTCGAGTGTGGTTATATCCTATTTCTAAACACTAAATTTAGTCGAAACTTGAACCTTCCTTTCACCAGGATGGTGTATAAGGTGCTCAAGGACCCTTCGAATTCAGTTCTGGTAATGCCCTTGACGACGTACCAGTAGAGATACCGCCGGTTGTCCCAAGTCAACAAGATACATTTTGGCTTTTCAAAGCTGGCTAACGCACTCGGGAAGGGCACGGTTGATTTTTCAATTTTGATAATTTGTTGCCGGTTTATTGCCGGTCCGCCGGATATTTGATATCAGCTTTCTCGCACCATACCTTGAGTTTTAATGATTTTATGCATGCAGTAGGAGCATTTTTGTGGCCTTCAAACTCTTAAGTAGATACACTGTCATATTTTTCCTTCTAGTTACCTTAGGGATGATAAATATCCCCCTTTGAGTATTCATGTCTCCACTCAATTTATCTCAATTTACAATTTTGAAGGAATTCATGCCTCTATCCTCAATTTATGGGGGTCATGCAGTCCTACTTAGGGTGTGATACAGAGTGCCTGTTACTTGGACTCAGAGCTCATATGGTAAACTCCAGCATAAGCATTTCTTCTAAGAAAAACAAGCAAGCTCAAAGAACTTGACTAGCTATTAAGACTAAATAACATCTGCAAAAGCTGGATGTTCACAAGAGCAATGGAGGCACTGTCTAGCTCCCAGCAATTCTTCAGTACTGCTGGGAGGACTTTCCCAGCTGGATAGTGCTGTCAGCTGCTTTCTGTTGAGGGATACTCCATGTGCTCGAGCCCATGCTGTACATACCTGAGACTTCTCCTTGTATGTAAAGTTACAAGACTGTAAGACCTGGGTCAGAATAGGTCTCAGGATAAGTTTGGTATGAGAAGTTTACGTCTAGCGTGCTAGGAGCAGGCTGGAGCTCGAAGGGAGCTACGGAAACCGCGACCGAGGACGGGAATGACCTAGTAGTGGCTGGGATTGAGAGAGGTGACCCTTGAAGGGATTCCTGTAAGGTCCAGGGAGGTCCCTAAGGCATAAAATAGAGGAGGTGGAGGTACAAAACCTAGTAGCATTGTGTAGGAGGAGTTGTACTCGCTAGAACGTCAACGTGAGATCGAATAGGTCGTATGGAGAATAGGTCGTGAGTGTATAAGCTCCTGAGAAGGTATACGCCCGGAAGGGGAGGTCCCGGGAACTGGGGGTTGGAGGTGGATGTCCTCGAGCATTGGAGGTGGTAACGGTGACACGCCTAAATTTTGGCTAGACATCTATGCTGTGAATTGTGACATTTTCACGTATAGATTTGTATCAAGAGGACTGTAATTGAGACCCAGATTGACAGTCAAAGTCAATACTGAATCAGTCTAATAAGTTGAAGGGACCATATACCCATACTACCACAAGTTGGTTAGTTTACCCATCCCCGATACTACCTTCGGATAGCAGTCTACCTGTTTGTCAAGCAGGATTATACCAGACTCGGACTACATCCGAAGGATGACCATTCACGTATGACCTACCAAGGGTATTCTTATTGGACCTTACACTGGCAGGAGTTTGGAAGAACTTACTCAAGTGACCATGAACCGAGGATTGACTCGAAATGACTTTCTAGAACTCAGGAATTATCAAATACTCCTTCTAGAACGAGATCATGCATTAATCCAAAAGACTGCGATTTAGTCTAATTGACCAATCAAGTTGCATGGTTGAGGAAAATGACTAGAAGAACGATCGAAGTACTGCGAGGCTCCGAAGGCATATCAAATGAATGTCAAAGAGTCCTGACATAGAAAATATTGAAGAATACAATTAAATGAATACTATGCGTAACTCCCTTGATAGAGTATAGGCACAATGGGTGTCTATTGAAAGAGAGAAGCAATTAGTTTAATCCAGATGAATCAGATTGATAGGATTAGAATCTAGGAGAGCTGATTTGCCTCTGGACGAGGTGACAAACGATCGAAGTAAGTGTTGAACAGCAATGACAGTTGAACACCATTCAAGTCATCCTCCAAAAACAATTAAATTAAATGAATATCGAAGTACCTACCTATGTTTGGAGGTATACTAGAATCTTGGAACCAATATGGGCCAAATAAAGACATGAAGATTCAAATTAAATGGTATCTGACCGAGTGTAGAAGTTTCCTTGCGGTTCCGAACGTTTATCGTATTAAATTAATTGTACTATGCGACTCTATATTCTGTATGTATAAATAGCGATCCAATGTATCTGGAATACAAGTGATTTTGGGACGACGTTGCAGTGCTAATCCGTAAAAAGGAAAGACACACTCCCGCCAGACTGAAACCTCTTCGCTAGCAGCCATTCGGGCCCGGCACTTGTGAGTATAGGAACGTTGTGTTCTGCTCCTTGTGACTGCGAGAAGTATATCCAGTTGTTGGATATTCTTCGAACTTAGGATCAGTCGTTGGTCTTAAGGGCAAATCACACTGTGTGGTTGTGCCAGCACATAGTTCTAGCCCTCCGTAGGGGTCTGTGTGTTTCGGTTTTAATTTACTTTGATTCAAAACCCCAATTCTTGATATACCCAAATCAATACAAACTAAAGCACAAATCGTGCTGAATCTACCTTGATCAAAGGAATATATCGAATCCTTAGAACGATTCAAATTGATTGATCAAAGCTTTTTACTTAGCTTTCAGAGCTTTGCGGAACCTTTGCCAACGCTACCCCTTGCTATTAAATAAATTTGATAGCAGTGAACTCGCATATTGTGTATTAGATTGGTTGGTTGGAGTGCCCATTAGATTCCTTCCTTTCTCTTTCACACAAAAACAAGGCAAGCTCGTTAACGGAGAAGCGGCAAGTAGTTCGACGTTACCTAGACCGAGGTCCCAGAGCTTACGGAGCAATTGGGGAGCTCAAGGAGGTTTTGGGGAGGTTAGCTCACCAAGGCGGTAGGCGTTGGGGAGCTTTAGTATTGTTTGAGGGAGCTCGGAGACTCACTTGGGTTGCTTAGACGTGAAGTTAAAGCGTGTATTGGATCGTATAGACGATTGTAGAGACGATAGACAGAGTTGAGACAAACAGAGATAAAGAGATAGGGAGTAAAGAGAATTCCGTATAGGTAGCAGGGACTGGACCTATGTTAAAGGGTGTGTGTTCAAAATATACCAAGCTGGGGCTTGGGGACATATCAGAGCTACTTAAATAGGTACAGGAAGTGAACAAGGGAACATCAGGGGCCATGAGGCGTGTAATCGAGATTAGTACCTTAATGGGGTAGGTGTAGGAGGGCTTTAAACACGTGTCGGGGGAGGTTTAGGAGCTACTCGTGTCGCGGGGAGGAAGGTGATACTGAAGATGATACTGTCTTGGGGAGGTACGGGCGTGGATCGGTGCAGAGGGGTGAGAGCGTATGGCTGATACTGGGGCTGTCCTGGTAGTCACCATTAAGAGGGCTGTGGATAATGGTCGAGGCATGACAAATACAGCATTATTACATTATACTATACAGTACCTAGGTAGACAACAATGGAATGCCTCTTGAACACCTGAGTTACTTTACTGAGTTAAACCTTGACACTTTCGAGCTCTTAGCCAACTTGAAGAATACAGATTTTACAGATGAACAGTTCAAAAACACAGAGAGCTATTGTACCAAATACTCTAGCTCATGTAAAGAATAGGGTACAGCATCTTTCATTATCAATAGTTGGAATAAATGCATAAAGGGAAATGCATTGAAGGCTGGAGGACACTGTGTCATTCAATGGGCAATGATGCAATGATAGGTTATCAGTTTCACTGTGCCTTCTCCCAAGTGTGCTACCTGAGGAATTTATCATTCCTGAGGTACTTAGAAGGCAGAAAAATGACAGTGTATTCACTGAAGAGTTTGAAGGCCACAAAAATACTTTTACTGCATGCATAAAAGTGTTGATGGTGAGATATCAAATCCGATGGACCGGCAATAAACCGGCAACAAATTATCAAAATTGAAAAATCAACCGTGCCCTTCCCGAGTGCGTACCGGCAACAAATTATCAAAATTGAAAAATCAACCGTGCCCTTCCCGAGTGCGTTAAGCTGGCAGGCATGATACTGCATGATATCGTGCTTTGCAGCCTGTTTGCAGCCAATGTGAACTTCGATTGTGACGTGAGAAAGTGATAAACCTTTTATCCTCTACTTGCATCATCTCTTCTGATCTCAATGTGATTCAAGTTCGATCCTCTATGTATATTGCGACCTTGACTTCGTCTTCGACTCCGTTGGCAAGAACTTACTGGTGACGTCTGGAACTCCACAGCAACACCCTACGTAAAATCATAATGTATTCTATCTTTCAAGTTCAGAGTCAAAGGTAATGCGTCTACTATTCCGAGGTATCCGAGAAACCGTGTAAGGTAGCTATTGTCAAACTTTTAGCTCTCAATTGTGCCAACGGATGATTTGGAGTGGAAGCGAGGGGAAAAGATGCAGTTTTATCAATGCATGTTGTCGCCGACATGCTTTGTTGATTCAAGTTCTAAACTTCATAAACTCAACAATGGATTATAAGGTGAATGAAAAACGTTTGATTTCCGTATATCAAACGTGAGCTTTCTTCATAACATCATGAATGAAATAGTACTGAATTTAAGTTCCTATAGCAAGGCGAAATAAATTCAGGTGTCGGTCCAAAAACCTATTTGTTGAAAACCAAAAAAAGAATATTCAATCAGTATCGAAGCCGGAGCTGAAGGGGTGGACAATTCCACGAAACAACTCACTCAGATTCAACGATCTTAAACGTCAACACAAGAACATCCTCTGTAGGTCCCCGTACACACATTCCCCACCCCATCACACCCAAACGCATCACAAGGGCCAACATAGTTCTTGTTGCATCCATACCCACAGGGACATCCAGCATATTGCCCGGAAATGCAGTGCAGGCCGTCAGAGGATTTATCCCCGTCGCAGCCGTTATCGTAGCAGTTCCCATTGATGGTACCACAGTCGGCGCGGGACGTGAGAGAGGCTAGGTTGAAAGACTACTGTGTTAGTAGTTTTTGAGGATAATGAAAACTTGGGGGGTACGTACTGCTCTGAACTGACGTCGGATTGGCGACAACTGCGAGGCTACAGGCCACTGTGGTGAGAGCCACGAAGAGTGTCGAGAAATGCATTGTTGTCTGAGTGTTTTCAGAAGTGCTGGAGATGACAAGAATCGAGAGGTTCTCGCTTAAGGGATGGTGAAATTTAAAGAGGTGTTTTATAGGTTTTTTGAAGACGTCTCATAATTATCTCTAACATATAGGACGGGCAGATTTTTTCATGAGAACCCGGTCAGCAAGGATACTCGGACAATGGGGCTATTGGAGCCAGGTGCCAAGCCTCGATGTACTAGTCTCCGGAGTAAGGGAGGTATCCAAATTCAAAGGGTTTCAAGAACCTATCTTTACCAATTGTAACTGCTTAATGCTGAAATCCTTTGTACAATGGCACTGGCAGGCCATCTCCACATTCAAGTCTGATACTAATTCAGGATCTTGTTCAGCCATCGTCTGTTGAATCCGGTGTAAGGTTTATGGTGGGTCGGAACTTGGTGGCCGCTCTCTAGATGTGGCAAACCAGGCCAATGAAGTGACCATGAAAGACATAAAGGAATATTCAAAGTTTTCGCCGATGTTCTTCTACATGATTTATGTCAAACATCCATCGTAAAGACTAGTATAGAGCCGAGCGCTGAGCTCCAACGCTATGTAAACACTTTAGGTTCATCATGCAATAATATTGAGTCGTCGACTATTTTTACAATGTTCGGAATTGCATACGGCGAACCTAGGTACTAGTGGCACCGTGTGATTACTCAGGATTCAATCGCAGACCACACATACCACGGTAGGCTTCTACCAGATGACAGGTGGCCAAGTCTCGTCTACCCTACATAGACAATTATCTGCGTCAATTCATGATCCGTTATAACTGGGCTTGGGCTGACTGCCGGTGTTTTTGTGAAGAATCTCCGCTCTGGTGTTCTAACGTTCCTTGTACAGTGGGTCCTCTGAGTCCCTGTATCATCATGCGACGCACGGCTATCTCACCTTTAATTTCCGAGCCTCTGTGATGATTCGACCAGCTCTCGAAGGCTCGTAAGCTGGAGTCGAGAGAGGGAGTTCAATAGAGTTCAATTAGTTCAAGTTTTTTCTCTGATTTATCAGTTTTAAAATTTTTTCAATACGTTCAAGTACATCTTGACATAGATGACCTACAGTGACCTACAGCCGTTTATAGCCTCTTCATCAAAGAGTGGGACAGATACACGCAGCGAACCGGGCCAACAAGTGAGTTCGAGTCTGTTCGAGCTCTCCTGACTAGGCCTGACTGTTGAGCATCCATAGCAAGGAGAGATATCTATCGGAGAAATAAGGTCTAGCATTGCCCACTTCCAATTATTGAGCAACCTTACCTTGGCCACCGATATGGAAATCTTTTATGTCTTTCCACACGATGATATTATCCTGATGATGCCAAAGATGACAACGAAATACAGTGCCATTGACTATTAGAAGAGTGACCAACGAGGAATCTATATAAGATAGCGACATGTACAGCGTCTGAGAGCTAGAGAACGATGAGCAATGAGTGGATACTAGAGGATGAAGAGGTCCGAGTTCATGGTAATGTACGAACGAACGAAAGAAAGAGGAACGGATATGATAACAGATTGATAAGTAATGAGTGCCAAGTCCATCCGTTATAACCTAAGACTAAAGGAGAGGTTTGCTTACTTACCCTATCATTGAGTGTCAAGCAAGAGAAAGAGTTCCACACAGGAAACACGCGGCAAGTAAAACTACGACGCCTGCTCCGCAAGACATTTGTCGATTGCAGCATTGATAGTCGCCTTCCTGGACGCCAGATCTATCCCATATTGTTCCTCCAGTTGTCGTCTAATCCCTCTCTTCGTCACCGAATTCAAGTCCGCGACCCGGATGATGTCCTGAACGGCCCGTTCGATATCCATGTCTGAAGGACCCCCGGAAAGAGAACCATTGTCAGGACTCGACGTTGTAGGGATGGGCATATCAAGATAATTTGTCGTCGGACGAGACGGTGTGGGCTGGTAAAGCGACGGCGTAAACTGAGGTTGACCATACATCATCCCCGTATCCATAGGCATGCGAAGATTCGATTGAGGAGTGTTTCTCCCCGATTGATATCCGGGAGGAGGATACATCATTTGCGAAGGTGCTGGAGAAAACGCTCGTTGTGGTTCGTAATATGTTTCTCGACCATAGAGAGAAGCTGTTTGGGATTCCGGGTAACCTTCGTTGTGGAGTTTATTTGGAGGTACCCAGGAGCCGATGCTGTGGTTAGATTCCTTGTCCCATAGTTCGTTCTCCTGTGAGGAAAATGAGTATAAAGATGTTTACTATTATATGTTACTTACGTAGTCAGTCCATGACTTCAACGGTATAGCCTTAGGGTCAAATTTGCCCTCATCCTGAAAAGAGGACGACGTTCAGAAAAGGTAAAGAGAAATAAACACAGAAATGGAACCCACATGAACGATGAGCTTCTTTCCGGATTCACCCATGACCAGACGCGTTGCACCCCAGGAGAAGTCATCCATTCTCCAGAAAGAGTAGAGCGGCAAGTATAAAGAAAAGATTGGAATAGCGAGGACATAAAATACCATCCAACCAACCATATCCCATTTGAGTCGCATGATGAAAACGAGCGCCTGTAGACCATAGATTGCAGCTATCATGATGAGCGACAAGGTAGGAATTGCTTCGCCTGCGCCGACAACAGAATAGATTAGATAGACGATCTATGAGAGGAAGAGTTAGTCAACTGCGAGTACGACATTGATTTGCGATATGACTGACATAGCCCACAGTAACGGGTTGAATAATAGTGGAAATGAGATCGATCATGACGACAAACCGCATCGAGAAACAACAGAAACCACAAAGCTGTTCCAAGAACATCAATTCTCCGAGATTGTGCACGGTAGAATTGATCCAACGTCGCCGTTGGGACAGCAGGACTTTCCAATCGTCGGGAGCAACAGTATAGGCATGAGCATCTCGCACAAATTGGGTTTTGAGCGTGGGGAAATGTTTGAGAAGAAGAGTCGTCAGGTATCGATCTTCTCCAAGGTGTAACAAGTTCTTCATGTGCAATGTATCGACACGATTTTCTGAATAGTCGTGGACGACCTGATTCGCGATGAACAATGGCTTATGTGTATCGGGCGCGCGGAGCCGGTATAAAGAGAAACAACCGGGTAAACAAGTGACGGAACCGAAGAGACTCTCAAACGCCTTAGCCATATGATGGGAAATGAAGTACTCGTAGACCTATAAAGCAGGACAGTTCAGATCGAAAAATACCATTGCAATTTTGTGTGTAACAAACCTGCATCATTGTAAGGATAGACTGCTTTGCGTTGGACAGTTCGGTTTCTCCACAGCAGGCCAGGAGCTTCTTGTCGTGTATCATGCTGTCAAAAAAAGCGGTGAATTTTCAGATAAATATCAAAGGCAACAAGAGACTTACGCAGAAATCAAACGGTTTATGGAGTATTGATCAACGGTCGTATCAGCATCGACAGTGAAGAGATATTCATAGAATGTGGGATTGACGCCAATGACATTTTTGATTTGGTGGTACATTTCCAATTCCATTGGGTTCATGGGAGAGTTGAAATGAACCTGGAGGACAGACTTTGGTCATCAATCCGTCACGATGGTTATGATCTACCTACCTTATTCAAGAAGTGCATGAGAATCAACTGCGAATCACGCTTGCCACGATTACCAGGGCGAGACCGTTCGTTCGGTTTGCCGACTTTAACGATGACCATGTAAGGTACGACGTGACCAGCACACTCGTATAGACCAGAGTAAATTTTACCCATGTTGTGTTGCTTAGCACCCTCACCGAGAGAAAGGAAACTCAACGGTTCAGGATCGAGGTTGGGGTCAGCGCCAAGGATGTCCAAAACTATACGTGGTGTGGGTCGGTCATTTCCTGAACCGACAATCATACCATCGCAAATGACGACCAGCAGCTTGCGCTTGTCGTCATATTTCATCTGAGCCAGAGTGTCGATGGTACGGCGCAGAGAAGAGTCGCCTTCGGTATAACAAGGAACTTGGCAAATCACGAATTTGTCATGATCCTCCGGTGCACGAGCCGCGCTGAAGTTGATCGAAGCCAGAAACTTAAATCCGATAACAGAAACCATGAAGAGAGACAACGCTAGTAGGATATACTTCGAGAATAAGCATTGGGGAGAGTTCCGGTTATCGACTTTGCCGATGAGGAACAGATTCCTCAGACAGACTTTTTGCCTCTCTAATACTTGAGAGCTGATTGTGTTTGGGACAAGTGCGTTGAGACTTTTCGTGATATCGCCTCCATTATTGAATTTGAATATATCAATAACCGAAGGATCCATGAAGTTTTTATCGGTATCAGCAGGAGCTTGAAAACCCGGAGGCGCGATAAGCGATGGTTGAGAGCTGACATAGGAAGTCACATCGTAGATCATGCCATCGTAAATTCCGACTGATTTTCCGGATGTAGACATGTCCTTTATTTCATCTTTGGTGTACCCGAGGAAGCCAACGCGAGAGGTGTAACGCATTGTCACCATACTCTCGAAGTACCAATCCGGTCGTGAGTCATTGGTATTGATACGAAAGTCATGGTACTGTGCATTTATATCGGAGTCGTTGGTTGTGTCCAAAGCAACGAAAGGGCTGACGGTTCCGGTGACACCGTTGCAAAGGGCGCTGATCTGTGAAAAAGTGAGATGGTGAACAACATGGAGCCGAGGGTTGTAAAGATACCTGAACAGGAAAAATGTTGTCAGAGGTTGTCCCACCATACTTAAGGATAGACTTCGTCGGCACGACACTGACAATTCGCTGATGATTGTCAGATATGATGCCTAGATCGAAAACCTCTCCCCGAATGGAGGTATACACCTCTTTCGCAGTACTATCATGCGACGACAATTCTCCGGTGTTGAAAACGTGCTGCGTGGGGCAAATAACAAGACCAAGCACAGCGATGATGAAAATCGATACACCGCAGCAAAACCAGATAATCAAGTTGAGAGCAAGTTTTTCCCTCCAAGCTTGCCGCACATCTTCACGTTTCATCCGACCAATCCATAATAATAACGGACTAGGGACCCACCACGTCAGAAGCCAACAAAGGGCTACCCATCTGCGACGCGCGGAACTCTCTTTGATGACCTCAGTCGTTTCGCCTTCTTGGATTTCACCAGGCAAAGCCTCCTTGTTCGCCAACGCAGCTTTGTCGGCATTCTGAAACATATTCCTCGACGGTGCGTACGATTCAGATCCGAAATTAGATACAGAGTCATCTCTCTGGCTAGTGAATTTGCTACGAGCGTCAAAGTCCTCGCTGTGAAGTGAACGATCATCACCGTCGTCGTAGAGGTCTGCACGTTGGAAAGGCGACGCATTGGCCACTAGAGGGAGGTGCTGATTTGAAGAACCGTAGTTTTCATTATGTCCAGCAGACCAAGCAGCTTCACCATCAGCGTTCGGGTATGAATAAGGTGCATATGGATCACCAGCGCCGCGCGGTTCGAGACCACCTTCTGCCTCAGCATCACGAAGACGGTTGCGTTTCTGTTCCTCGACGTCTCGCGAGCGAAGCTGATCTTCCAAGAGATGAAAAGCAGCTTGCGAAAGAAACACCTAAAGAACGATTAACAAAAAGTGATAGACACCAAGAAAAGATGGACCTTATGTTGACCGAGAACAATGTCATTCTCATTCAGACCGAGTGCGGACTTAGCATATTCAACCTTGTCCCGCTCATCACCACCAACAACACCAGCCTCCTGAAGACCTTCCTTGTACCTATCACAAAACTCTTCGGGCATCATGTTGACCTCGAATACGTTCACGCATCTTTTCGCGATTTCCGTCAAACCCAGACTCCTCACTTGACCCTTTACGCTCCTTCCTTCAAGTTGATTCGGCAATTGCGAGTCATTAGGGTTAATGCAAAATACGTGCCACGATTGAGTATCGTCAAGCGTCTCGAAGAGTGTATCCAGGGCGACGCGAAATTCGCCCGCGACGCAGGCGGTGCCATTGGAAGATCCTCCAAATCCAGAAGTGTTCCCTACGCCGTCATCGTCGTCAGTGGCCTCTACACCTTCTTTGACAGTGGACATCCGTTTGATGGTTCCCTTTCTTCTGGTCGACGGGGCCCGCATCGGCTTAACATTCTGCTGAGCAGCAACGATGGTGTCCTCGTTTCGTGGATGAGCCGTCGTAGCAATCTGCTTCCCGCTGAAAAGTCCTTTGACGAAAGGATTGATAGAGCCCGTGCCTTCCATACCCTCAATACCTCGCAAAAGGTTGACGAAATCCGAGTTGAGTTCATCCTGATTCCGCTCGATGAAGTTTTCTGACGAATACGTCACTGCGCCGTTGTAGTGACTGACGGTGAAAGTGGGAAAGCCCGACCGATCGATGTTACCGGTTTTGAAGGATGAGTGATTTCCCCAGCGTTTCTGAAATGCTTCAACCATTGTATGGTTCGTTTTCTTGGGCTGACGACGAGCTTGGTCATCCATAATGTGAACAAGACCACCTGGCTTGTTTTGGAGGAGTCGAATACACTCGGTATTGTCGAAGTAAGCTATGGAGGGGACAAAGCGAGAGATGCCTTCAGCAGCATACTCATTGACATGAGACTCAAAAAGGCGCTTCTGAGTCCAGTGTTGAAGCTTTTCATTGGCAAAGTTTATGCAAAATTGATCAAGGGAGTTGGGACGGGAAGTCATATTCTGCGGACCCGGAAGGTCAAATAGACCTATGAAAGTAGAAAAATCGTCCTTGCACAAGCGTTGATTGATGTGTTCATTGAGCCAGGAGAAGAGGAGGGAGTATAGAGCCTTTGCGAGGTCATCTCGGTTGTCTGAAGCACCGTCTGGGTCGAGGAATATGGTGCACATTTCCTTCTTGACCATCTTGGAACGGTAAGAGAGCGATTGCTCCAGCTCACCCGGTGGGACCCCGAGAAAGTCAGCGACTATAGCACATACATCGGTGTTACGCACGACAGCGGCGTCTTCGTTACGGCTACGGTCAATGACAAACTCCAGGTTACCAAGATGGAGTATGGCAGCCAACAGCTGACAAGTTTGAGCAACATGTCTCTTCGAAAGACCGATAGTCTTCAAAGCTACTTTGAGTTGCTCGAACCTCACAGCATCGTCGTCCTGAGCCCCATTAGATCTAGCTGTTACATTTCTTTGACCAAGGTAACGATACGCAGTCTTGTCGATGAGGTGAAGATGTTGCCGCTCTTCAGGTGTTGCACCAGCGACGAGATAGTAAAAGATGTGGAAATTTCGTTCGCCACTAGGTGCTCCGGCCACTCGATTCCGTTCGAGATAATATTCGAGAGTTTTGACACCGGTAAGCCGTCCTCTATCGCTGAACTGCAGCTCAGTATACTTTCCAAAGCGCGAAGCATTCAGATTGAAGAGTGTGCGAGCGTTACCGAACGATTCTAGAACAAATTCGGCGGCGGGAACCTGGCCAGCAAGTTTCGCACCCTTCTTCCCAGGGTTAGAAACAGATAGCTCAAGGATGGCCTTAATCGCCAATCGACGAGATTCTGACTTTCCGGATGCGGTTTCCCCACTGAAAAGAAATATCAAGAGAGTGCCGGGAAGTATTAGTAAGGAACTCACCTCAAAAGTATGCTCTGATCTTGGGTAGTTCTCTTCATATGATAGTATACATTATTAGCAAGTTGAAAGATATGAGGCGGTAGAAGTTCCTTGGGTAAACTAGTATTCCGATATTCAGAAGCGTATTTCTGGAGAACATTGTCGGCGTTCGAAGACACGTATTTGTGAGGATTTAATGCAACCAAAGCGGAGGTGCCGACGTTGGTGTAGATGTTGTCGGCCATAAACCTTTCCCTAATACATGCTACGATAACATCGTCGGAAATTCCAGTGAGTTGTGAGAGGTCGGTGACAGCCTCGAGGCGCTGGTGGTGAATAGTCGACTGCCGATTCATGGTCGACGAAAAATACTGTTTTGAGTAGAATAGTGAATCAAAAGTGAGTAGCGCTGCAGCCTGGCGGCAGGCGCAACGTTAAGGAGATGGCAGAGGTTGGTGAGGGAAAGAAGCAAGGGAAAACGAGCGTCGTCGTGAGAGACGAAACGTAGGTTAATCGTGGGAAGACTTTGCTGTCTCCGATCGCGATTATTCTTGCTTTCGGTTTTCCCAAACACAGATATATGTATTATAATGTATACTCAATTTTCTGCTATTCTACTTGTGAAGGTCACAGCCTTGTCTAGGACATCCTTCGCCTCTGCCAACTAATTCACAAGGATAGATATGGCCGAAGTGCGAAGAAGGCGCGTGATTTTTCAAATAAAGCCCTAGTTCTAATGATAAAATGTGTCCCTCCAACGATATTCTCAAGTCTTGAGTATTGGACATTGGGATCCAAAAGCATGGGTAAATGGATACTTCATAAACAGCATGAAAAGGACTAGCAGGAACCTCAATGATCAATACGGTAAATTGGTACCTTCTCTTCCTTCATTTCATTTGCTGTTCATCGTTTAGTAGGCTTTTAGGCTGCATACACTGTATTGTAACAGCTACATCTACCATGCATCTATCTCAATGGCTGATGGTTTAAGATCCTCGACTTCAGAACATGACGTGCGAGATATACTACATAGACATTGTTTACAAGTTTACAAGATGATATTCATCTGTGTCCTAAAAGGACTAAGGCTACATGTAACCCCGATGAACCAGACTTTAAGTAGGAGTGCCCATAATATGTAATAAAAGTATCATAAGATATCAAGTAAAATGCCAGGCTTTGCTGGTTTTGTGAGAAGGAAGTTTACTACTGGGGCATTGTCGATGGTTCATTGACATTTGACGGTATACTTCATATACCTCCACTTGAAGTGTCGAGAGATATACGCAGTGTCCGGGCTAGTATAAGTGCGTAGCCCATCACTGTCTTTAGCCTAAGATGCATGAGCCAAAGCCCCAGTTTCTAAATTTCCATTCATCTCCTCTCCTCTTTAGCCGCGACGGGGACCTATCGAAGTTGTCCGCTGTGTTATGCAGTGGAACGTCTCTAGCAGTTTGGTCATCTGTACAACGTGGTCCTTTTCTAGCGACCCATAAAAGCTACAAGACCCAATCAGTGCTCCCTGAAACCGACGGTAGTAGAGCTTGGCTATAAACTCATCATCCTGCACTGCAATGAAGCGAGGGTAACTTTAGTTATCCTATCATTGCGTCGAATATGATCGGGATTGCATACTGCCCTAAAATCCTATGGTTACTTTGCAAAGAGCAGCATGCAAAGACGTTTTACTCTTGAGAACGAGATGGATTAAGTGCTTAAGATTGAGATCGGTGACGACAACGCGGCGTCGGAGGTTCAGAAATTTGGAACCGGCAGGTCACATGAGCTTATTTCAGCAAAGCTGTGCCCCAAATTTAACCGGAGCTTGAAATATAAGTGGTGTCAGCGGTTGAAGCCTTGTCCCGTCGACAAATACCTCGAGGCCGTCGTTGTCCTCTACTGCAACCTCTACCTTACTGACTTGTTGTGCCTTTCTCACTCTCAATTACATCTCCCTTACTGCGAAGTCCTCTTTTCGCTTTCTTCCATATACCTATCTGCTGGAGAAGATGTCTGAAATTAGGAGGAAACTCGTTATCGTTGGTGATGGTGCTTGTGGAAAGGTTCGTTCTTTTTGTTCGTGCTACATCGTCTTTCGTATCCTAATGGTGCTACTCTTGCTCTATTCTACTTTGAACTATCCCTGCTCACCACACCTCCCCGACCCAAACAACACCTTTTCTACACCTTTGGAACGGGTTCCTCTATATATTACCTTGTCTCCGTATATTCTCGTTGGGTTCTCGTCAACGATTCTCAATTGCTGTTGCGCCTTTGGTATCTTGGTTACGCTTCCTGATTTTGAATTTACATTGGCAACGCTGGAACAACTCATAGACATGTCTGTTGATCGTCTTTTCGAAAGGAACTTTTCCTGAGGTGAGTTACCGGAATTATCTAGTCAAACAGAACATGCAACCAGTCATGTTTCAGACGACATGAGTACCTCCTGTTAACGTTTTATTTTTGAACTATAGGTCTACGTACCGACCGTTTTCGAGAACTACGTTGCGGACGTCGAAGTTGACGGCAAACACGTTGAACTTGCCTTATGGGATACCGCCGGCCAGGAAGATTATGACCGTCTCAGACCCCTTTCATATCCGGATTCCCATGTCATATTAATCTGCTTCGCTGTCGACAGTCCCGATTCCCTCGACAACGTACAGGAAAAGGTGCGTAGCTTCTCGTCACAATAATCCTTTTTCTGAACTCATTCATTTTCCTTGCTCAGTGGATCTCTGAAGTCATGCATTTTTGCGCTGGTCTACCTATCATCCTTGTTGGTTGCAAAAAGGATCTTCGTCGTGACCCGAGGGTTATTGAGGAGCTCAGAAAGACAAGTCAGAGGCCAGTAACACCTGAGGAGGTAAGTTTTACCTTCAACATATACCATTTTCGTCGCTTTAGGGTCTGCTGGTAATACACTGCCGGCAGAAGATCATTCCTCCACAATTTTTGAATATCTGTTTACTGACGTCCTACAGGGTATGGCCGTTGCTCAGAAGATAGGTGCTAAACATTACCTTGAATGCTCAGCCAAGTCTGGGGAAGGTGTCCGTGAAGTTTTTCAATACGCCACTCGTGCTGCGTTGCTTTCCCGCCCAGGCAAGAAGAAGGGTAGCAAGTGTGTTGTCGTCTAAGCGCCGTTTATCAGTGCTGCCATCCAGAGCACTAGTCCAGGTGCTGGATAGTAGTAGGGGTAGTGGCCGTCGCATAGTGTTTGTGATGACGAAATTGATTGAGCAAGGGGGGTTCTCATGTCCTATCCTGTTCTTTTCTTTCTATAATGCTACGATGGAGTAATGGAAGCCCTCTGGGCATAGTTTATATATATTGACATGGCGGATTTTGTCGTCGTTGGTATTGGTTCTGGTACATTCATTCTGCAATTCATCTCATCCAATGCTACCCCTACCTGCTCTCTCACGTGAACCAGGCATTTCTTCCCTTCTTTCTTCTTGTCTCCCGAACACATACATACCTACTTGCAGGCTCACCTCTTGTTAGTGTTCCTCCAATATTTCTCCTCTTTGTTCTATTCTATCTTTCATGACTTGAGTTAATTTATGCCCTGATGAGAGATCGTCGACTACGTTCTAGTATGCCATGACATAGGCTTTTGCTGTAAAATATTGTTCTTACAGCCAATTGCAGTGCCGAAGGTGCGCGCGGATTTTTGCCGAAGTACAGACGATACAGGTAAAATATAGATATCCTTCAAGATACAAATCTCTCACCTAGTCAAAGTTAATGGGGTAAAAGCTGAGGATATTCTTACGATGGAAGATTGACCTTGATGATGTTGGAAAATACGACGAATTTCGGCAAAAATCCACGCGCGCCTTCGGTGCTACAATTAGCTGTAAAATAACAAGCCCTGGGCCTGAGCAGATGATTCTTGTACGCCCAACTTCCGCGGCTTAGCCAGGCAGTTTATGCCAGAACAACTGACCTTCGTCAATGCGGAGCTGTAAGCACATCTCCGAGAACCTTCAATGAACATATCCGGATTTCGTTCCGGCGCGGAGCAGAATATGTCATCGATTGATTAGCACATGGCAAATTTACGTCCTCTTCTGCGCTTCAAAAGCTCGTTTCTTCCTCCAATTTCTTTCTTACTTTCGTTATTCGACTTTGACACACGTTGCTGCGTCGTCAATCGATTTGCGCTGCCTCTCACTGCTGATATTTTTGCTCAATAAATATTCGACCTCGTAAGCCATAACATCCTTATGACAGTATGGTATCGAGGTCTAAATCAAAATCGTAGTTCTCTCAATGACCCAGGGATTCACACTCTCATACTCCCCTTACACATTGCCCAAAGCCATGCCTCATCCCAAGATCCCAGATTCATCTACCGTTCCGGTAACGCAACAGACTGCTCCAATATTCAGTCTTCCTCCTGATATTTTGTACCATATCTTGTGGGACCTTTCTGGTGGATGGGTGACACTTGACCCAACCACAGACATCTGGGTCTTCACGCGTGTATCGCGCTCTCTTCGTTTTGTCGGCTTGAGTTTCGCTAATCTATGGGCGCGAATCAGCTTAGAGCCAGATGATATCAGGAAATATAAAAGAAATGCGGTTAATATTCTTCACGCCATTCTCGACAGGAGTACGGTGAATATATCTGGAAATGGCCATGATGGAACTCTTTTGCGTCTTCGGGTGTATGCAGATATGCTGTTGATTCACGCAAATCTTCTTGACATCCTGACAGCACATTATACTCGCTGGTATTCTCTCGATTTACACATCTCCTTGTTCCTCTTGAACACCCTTTCAGCGCAGATGGCACCACTCGGATTCCCGCTTCTTTCTCATTTGAGGCTAAGTCTTGGGTCAGACCAAACAAAAATACCTGATCTCGAGGTCTTTTCCCTTTGTCCAGCGCTCAAAAGTATCGAATTTGATTCAATTCCGAGGTGTAAGGCCTTACATCTACCCTGGGCAGGACTTACCCGAATTGTTCTCAAAGAACGAGTTCGTTCGGATTTTTTGAGGATGCTTCTCAGTGCACCAGCCCTTCAGCACGCTGAGCTCATCTCAGTTCTGCCGTCCCTTCATCCCGAAGATCCGAATGATGATCCTCTGCCCAAATCTCGCATAATCGAACACCACTCTCTAAAATCTCTGGTGCTGAAATGCATCCCTTTCGCCGTCGTACTTGACTCTTTGTGCCTCCCAAATTTATCCCAGTTAACCATTGAGAGTACTGCTCAGGCGTCCTTTGGTAACCTCCTTGGGTTCATTCGACGCTCCAACGAAAATTCGAAGTTGGAAAAACTGACTTTGAGTGGAAGTCTTTTCCTGACAGAACCTGAGGGTGCACTGGCAAGGTCATTGTCGAGCTCATCCCTTCCTTCGTCCCTGCCTCCCTCGCCCCTATCCGAAAGTGGTCCCCCGGGATCTCCATTTAATGTGAGCGAGAACAACTCTCGTTCAGCTTCATCTCCGGACCCGAATTTTTCTGTCCCAGTAACGGCTACTTTGGAAGACGTCTTGAAAGCCGCTTCTAGTCTTAAAACGTTGATCTTGGAAGATTGGACTCCTGTTCGGAACCCTTCCCCTTATGATCAGTTTTTCATTGCTATCAGTCGTTGTGGAGATGGGGACGGAGGTATAGGTTTACTCAAAAGTGGCGTGAGCTTTCCGGGGACCCCCGTCATAGGTGGAATGACTTCGGCAATGGCAGCCATGACCCCCGGGTTCGGTATGACTCCAGCTTTGGGTCTCAATCGTTCGAGCTCTTTGAGTTCTTCGAACGTGAATGGACTTGTAGGCACTCTTCCCCCAGCATCAGCAATTCCGTTGCACTTGCAACGTACCGGCTCACAGTCTTATGTCAACTCGCCGCTACCTGGTCTGCCTCCGCATCTTGCAAATAATCCTCATATCGCTGCAGCCTCCGCACATCTTGCGGCTGCTGGAATTCAGTTACCACCGGGTGCATTGACCTTAGGTATGACTTCGACGACTGCACCGGCTATGGTTGATGAAACGATGAATCTGAATGGAGCGCACACTCGAAGTCAGAGTCCGGGACCGTTTAGTCCTGGCTTCGCAGCCGGTCCTTCCACGTCAAACTCTGATTTTGCTTCAGCCTTAGCCTACAGGGAGAATTCAGACGGTCCAAGTGATAACAGTGAGGGTGGGCGGACACCTGCTGCAAAAAATGCCGCACATAGTGTGTTAGGTGTGTCTTGTCGTGTTACTTTCCACTCATTGTCCCTCTCAGTTATTTTGTGTTCCTCGAATTTCTCAGGTATACCCGCTGCGTCTGATGAAGTTCTTCTCCCCAACCTCAAGACACTCGCCATATCCAATTTATCGAAAAATATCATCGATCTGCATTTACTTGCTGGAATGGTCGAATCGAGATGGCGGGGCCAGATCTCTGATCAAACGCGGACTTCAGGTGACTTTAACACGGCTTCGGCATCAGCCTCTGCAGCGGCAGCAACTACCCCAACCGGCTCTCCATCGTCTTCCCCACCTCCAATCGCTTCTTCTCCGCTCACTCGCTCTGTCTCTCCGTCCATTGTTTCCTCATTATCCCTACACACTGATTTGCGACTGATTAAAAACAAGGGGTCAGTAGGGAGAATCAAATCACTTCAGAAGGAAACCGAAGAAGCGGCGAGAGAGGGGAGAGGGGAAAAGGTCAAAGTATATGTAAGTGCAAAACGTTGGGGTGGACTTTAATCTCGTGTGGATTTGCGGTCAAGATCTCTTGGCTTTCTAGATCATATCTCGATAACTCAATCCAGTGTATTGCTACATATGAATTATGACGAACCATTCGCATGTCGGTGTATATTTACCTTGTACCCTGAATAATCGCCACTTGTTCCTCGATGCATAACTCTGAATATCGAAAAATACAAGACTATGACTGTGCCATTCATACAATCGAAAGATCCGCTAGTACAACGGTGCTTTCACCGCAATCCGGGGCGCAATCTTGCAACAAAACTCTGAGTATATTTCTATCAGTAAAGCTAACATCTTTTAACGCACGATACCACCTCTATTTCCAGCAGTCGAGAATCCCATGCTTTTCAGAGAACACTCTTACAAACCATCAAAGTAGATATATCCTCCCGTTTGGTACTCTTTCACTCAAAAATATTCCCTTGACGTTCTTGTGACCACTGAGTACTTGCGGGTCGTCAACATCCGTTGGAGGAGTGATCATCACAGGTTCAATCAGCCTGAGGGCCAGGGACTTCAAGGAAAAAGGAGGTTGCGCAAGATCTATGCACCCTCAGAGGCCCATGCTCAGTCCTCCATGGTCCTCGTCAGTGTAGTTAGCATGTACTCACCAGGCCGAAGTACTGGCAGAGTGAGTGTATCATGGCCGACGAATTGTCCAAGCTACTATGTGAATCAATAAAACACATCCGTAGTCCTTGGCCACTACTCAATGACGAGCTGACATCAACGGGAAGTATAATCTTACTAGTCTCTCGTTTTCCAGCTGGCAACATATCCATGCTCATAATTACAAAATCACCGAAGCTTTGGCAGCCCAACGCCCATGCCTCGCGTATGCATATGATTGTAGCGTCAAGATTTAATTCGAAATGCTTTTCAGTCATGATATCCCATTGGGCTTTGTCCGCGGAATGCGTAAAAGTTAGCCACTGCGCAGTAGGTTCTATCTTCGAGCAGAAAATCAATGCACGTCGGGCCGCCGCTCGCAGCATAGACGAAAGGGGAGTCAAGCCTCTCCCTTCAAGTAGTAGTCTCTGTTAATCTCTAAAAAAAGGTGTACTTGTTCAAAATCAAAGGGAACTGAGCGTATTCGGAAGCGCGCGCATGTACCTTTCTGCATGCATTGAAGCCTTGGGTCGAGAGCCATCGAATTGTGATGGCCGTACTTATAGGCAACGTCTAAACAGCACTCGGTTATTGCGGGATCGGAGTCACTGCCCGGTTCGCAATCTCCCAAAATACTATCCTTTCCTATTAATTCGTTCAGCAGGCATAAAAGACGCCCTCCAAATAGAAGTTGCAAAGACAAATTCTGAGGCCTATCAAATCGCCAACCTCGAAGCGGCCCCAGTAGACAAGAGGTACATATCTACCATCCAGTTATCGATGAAAAAAAACCTGCATTGGTCGTTGAATATGTGCCAGCTGTCTGTTCATCAAACATCAAAGACTCACAGTTAAGTGATACGGTCCATTTCAATGAGAGTGAGTAAACGGTGCATTCATATTCGAAACGATCCCACAAACATGAGAAATCAGAAAGCAATCAGAGAACCTATGGCGTAAAGCCACAAGAAAATGTGGTATTCTCGAAGCCCTTGAGTTATGGAGGAGGTTGAGAGGAGTTGGTGGATGGTGGCTCGGCGTATTCCACCCTCTGGCATCTGGGATTGTGGCGTGTGTTCAATTTTGCGCCCGGAATCCTACAGGGACTCTCTATTCACCGATGAGGCAGTAACCTGTATGCAAGCCTGAGCAAACGGCATCGGCAAGGGCAAATCACCTGGAAGCTCCTGGAAGTGGAGGAGAATCAGAATCCTCATGTCTACACACAGAAGATCAATATTCAAGATCCACTTCAGTCAGAATGGACAACTTACATGTCCTTTGACGTGGTTACTGAAGGAAGCGCGCGATTCCGGATTTCCCTCATGCAGCGGCGTCCTCGGTGACACTCTTGTATGAGGGAACTAGGGAGGTCCAGTGGGTCGGCAGATCACGGAAGGCACAAAGAGACAGTGAATGGACAGGTTATCTAAGAAAAGTTTTGAGGGTGTGCATCAATCATGAAGTCAAATAGATAATCAATTCTACTCAGCTATCTTTTCATGCAAAGCTTGAGCGTCGGCTGCATTAGAACAATGTGATCAAGGGCATGATAACCGCCACAGGACAGGATAGCTGAATTGCACAGTATTACCAAAGCTGCAGAAAACGCTCTTCGCAGAATATTTGCCGTGGCTTCTTCTAAATGCGGTCGAGATAAATTTTATGACACAGCGGTGATTGTTTATTACTCCATGAAAGCAGTGGTAAGATCTAGATGATGGTATAAAGGGTCTTAAAATACACTGATACTTGGTCTAATACATTAGATAGTCGTAACTGCCCACCAGTCGGAGTGAGGCATGCCTTTTGAGGATAACGGCACAAAATAGGGAAGGTCATCATAGCTTCGTCGAATTGGGCTGCATTTTATTCAGGAATGCAGAGGCTACAGTCCTTCCCGTATGTTTATCTAGTATCTGATTGACGGTGAAGGCTGTCAGAATAGAAAGACATTCAAAAACGAAAACATACCTCGCATCTCGATGTCATAATCCGGCCACCTAGGGAAACAGACGTGCTTCTGATTTGTAGACATGTCCCTCTACGAAGAAATCAGAACGCGAATTAGTTGGAAAACCTGATATTGAACTGACAGTGGTGCGGGAGAGTGAAATAGAACATTCATGGCCTGGGTAACACCAACCCCATTGATGTTTTGAACTAATCCGAGGACGACAAGGGGTGTACTGCAGCAACTATGAATATAGATGTACGCAAGTTAGTGATGAGCGGAATGAAGAATAAAGATCGTACTTGTCAATGAGGTAAGCGATGCATCCACCATGCAGCATCCCGGCTCCATTTAACATGTCTATTTCAGAGAAACGTTGAGCCCAGACTGTAAGAATAGAATGACAGATCAAACAAACATTTATTGACAACGACCTCTGCGACAGTTGTTGCTTCCAACCTTTCTTGACGGTCAAGTTTCCTGTTGATGTTCACATCGACGAACTTGACCTCCTTTCCAACTTTATGACCGAAACTGTCTTCCCCACCGACGCCATAAGAATAGTATGTGTTGTAGTTGAGCTGCTTCACGTAGTCTGGCGCGTTGCCAGAGACCGAACTAATGTCTCCTTGGTTGGGCAGTGAGGCGGGGTCAATCCACGCCTTACGGCTGCTACCAGAATTCGAGGAGGGAACATGATGGGTATGTGAGTGCATAGCTACGGCTGAGGCACTGGCAACAGAAGTAGACGAATATCGAGAGGCCATGATACTGGATGGGAATGGGGAAATTCGCGTGCGGTTAAAAAACGAATATTCATGCTCCTCTATATAGAAAGTGGATTCAAGAGGGACCTGATGTGCTTTCGAAGATGATAGAGGGATGAGAAGTTGGGGTTGACGGCACCACGTGCACTGTCCATGTCGGTCATTTCCTGGAAGATTAAAATTCTCAGGATGGTGTGGTTATCTTCCGCTGACCCGGTCAATCATTTATTCAATGCTCAGAAAACTCTATAGAAAAGCAAAGCGGATCCAGATAGATCCAGATGATGTTCAGTGCATTATGGGGTTACTGCGTGTACATTTCTTTCATTTCATCTCATTACAGCCCATTACCGTTTGCAGACGCAGCTCTGCGGATCCCCTCTTGCAATGCGCTGGTGATTCAAGGCAGAAGTGGAAGCAGGCGGTATCCAGGTTAGCGCTGCTTCTGAAAGAGTTAAGCGTGGAGCTAAGTTGAACGATCTGGATAAATTTAACCATTCAGGTGTTCTTTGGGCCTCGCACCGCGAAAGGTTTGATGCACATAATCGTAACTTCTTCTGTAATACCTATTGAACACACATAGCAAAGATATCATTCTCCTTTCCACGATTGATATGAATTCGAAGGTCGGAGCTGGAAGGAATGAAGGAAGGAACAAAGGAACTAAGGCAAGGCAGATTTTCATAATTCATGACTCCTAAACATGTCAATATAGACTATACGGAATGAACAGATAGTGCAGACAAAAGCCATGAAAAGCTCAACGAAGACGTACCTAGCCAAGCAAGATTAACTCAAAGATCGGCGGTGCTTGTGAAAGTCGACCAGTTCCATGGACGGAAGAGCCAAATCCAGATGCATGTATTCATTGAACTTTGTTATGCCTTGGAACGCATGATCACAGTGAGCGTGCGGATGTGGGTATTACAAGGTGATTATATTGTGAGCGAAAACGAATCGCCGTCATGGATTGCGATATAGAAATATACATATGTATGTCTCTGGGTCCTGCAACTGCTGAGAAGTCCAGACAACCTCAAAGTATCAAAGTTAGCTGCGAGGAAGCACCGCGTGGGTTCCCGTGAATAATCTGTCTCGAGCGGGAGCTTCTGGCAAATCCTGTGAAAAAATGGATATCAAAGACCACGGTTCATGAGCTGGAGCTTATGGTACAATCAGAAGACCCTGCAAACCTATATGCTGTATACAACTGGACTGGTAGTGGTAAGATACTCATGAGATGCATACTGGTGGGTGAGTTCATACTCCTCAAGGAGCTAAGACCAACTGATATTCCATATGGCCTACCGCCTATAGTGATATAGTGATTGGAGACCGCTCCAATACTGAGGGAGAATTAATGCGGTGGGAGTTGCATATTTTGCCTTCCCTGTATAGCACAATGATTGAATACATGAATTTCTGCGACAGAACAGTCAGCTTCGGGAGCATTAATCATATGTACTCCGATTCGTGGAATGATGTTAGATAGAGTGAATTGACTTACCAAGTCAACTTCGGGTTGGCTTGAGAATTATCATCTGTTAAATATTCTGCCGCTGAAATTCGGACAACGACAACGTCAACAAAGGAGTTCCAGTATGTAAGAGGATGAGCGAGACGACAGATCGTGTAGACGGGATTGGGGATTCCTGGGCGCTGAATATTTCAGGGGTGGACGCTAGGGCACTAACTGAGATCTCATTTGAGAGGCCGGCGCCTGCCCGCACTCGATGTGGCCAGAGGGGAACCAGGTAATTTGGCTTGTAACAAGCGAAGCTAGACTATCTCTCGTTAGATTACTGTTCATATCCTGCATGCTACGATTAGATCCCTGCCCCAAATACTTACATTCAGCGGCATCAAGAATGATCGAGGTGCATAGTTCTTACCTTTATCCCATTTTTTGGTACATTCCTCAACATGTCTGCCGGTGGCGGTATGTGAAGGTCAAGAAGAAAATCAAATAGCGCCGGGAGCGTTTCTGCTTACAAAATCAGCCGCCCAAAAATTTTATTCCTAGCTTCCTGTTCGATCACATTCTCAGTCTGCTTCAAAAATGGCATCGATTCAGACGAATGTCCTCCCCAAATCTTACACTTTGCCATCTGTCGCTAACGCGTCAATCGCTGGTCCCTCTTCTAGCCGGCTGCTCCCAGTGGGACCCGCGTATATCTCCCATCTTCGTTTAACGATTCACCACGATCATTCCTTCGAGGCCCACGATGCTCACCTCGAGAAAGAGCGTCAGAAACTCGAGGAAATCCAAAACTCTGCCGCCAATGGCGACGATGACCTCGGTGTAGGCGATGAGCCAGAATCGGAAGAACTTTTGGCTTTAGATCCCAAGGAGTGGAAGGTATATGATATGAATTTTTTATTTCGATATAAGCTTCTCATTTGAATCATGCTTTCAAGAAACATGACTATTATGCAGTCCTCGGCCTATCGCACCTGAGATACAAGGCTAACGCTGAGCAAATTAAAATTGCTCGTATGTTAATTCGTTCTTAATAGTCCCGATACTTAGTCTTCATCGCAGACCGCAAAAAGGTGCTCAAGCACCATCCGGACAAAAAGGCTTCCTCCACCGCCCCGCAGTCTACCTCGTCTCTTCTTACCGGCGTAAACCTCAACACTAACGACGATGCATTTTTCAAATGCATCGCTAAAGCCCACGAGGTCCTTACCAATCCCGAAAAACGTCGTCAGTACGACTCGGTCGATCATGAACTCATGGATGCCCAAGAGGATGACCCCATTCCATCTACGTTTGCCAAAGCCAACAAAAGCCTATCCGATGCAGAGTTCTTCAAAATTTTCACTCCAATTTTCGAGCGTGAATCTAGATTCTCTAAAAAACAGCCTGTGCCGATGCTCGGTGATATAAATGCGAGTAAGGAACACGTCGAGGGTTTCTACGATTCCTGGTATAACTTTGATAGCTGGAGGAGTTTCGAGTGGTTGGACAAGGAGATCAACGAGGGGAGCGATAATCGGGATGACAAACGTTACACTGAGAAGAAGAATAAGAGCGAGAGGGCGAGAAGAAAGAAGGAAGATATTGCACGTTTAAGGCTGCTCGTAGATCTTACCTTGAGGTTAGCTGCCGACTTTTCATCTCCTTCGACTTCGTCTAACGCGGTTCGTGACTTTGCAATTCTTTCTAGCTTCGACCCGCGAATCAAGCGAATTAAGCAGCAAGAGAAGGAAGCTCGTGAAGCCAAGAAAGCAGCCAAATCGGCTCCCGCATCTGGTGCAGCTACGCCGCAGAAGAGCAAGGCTCAAGAAGAGGAGGAGAAGAGAAAGAAGGAAGAGGAGGAAAAGGTTTGCGTCATAATAGGTCTCTTCCTGTAAAAGACTGACCGTTGTTTTTGTAGATTGCAAAGGCGGATGCCAAGAAGGCCAAGGCTGCTGCTGCTAACGCTGCGAAGAAAGCCCGCAGGGCAGCTAGAACAGTAGAAGATGGGGCTACTGCTTAATGGGTATTGATGTGCTGTTGTATCGTCAACAATATTACATAGAGATCCATTACAATCGCGTATGCTCCTTCGAGGTGAGCATTCCGCGAGCAATGCATGCTGTCGATTTTTGACGCGTCTTTGCACTAATATCGAAAGAGAGTGAAAGCAGATATAAATATTTGAGTATATAATTATATATAGGTGGACATTGGTTTTTAGAGATGAGGGTATATATGCGACGAGGACGACAATGATGACATCGATAATCAGTGTATGGAGACGAACAATGCATGAGGAAAAATAATGCAAGGGAGCTACAACGACGAGGAAAGAATTGAAGGTGGTTGGTTATCGCTGTGATCGTAGCAAGGGGGGTCGTCATAGAAGAAGATTAGAGCGGTCAGAGCGTCATGGGCAGTCAATAATCAGAGGCGAAAAAAAAGTAGCAAATCGGATATTAATTCATCCCGGAATCTCTACCTCAATAGGTGGGAGGATACGCCGGAAGTGCTAAAATAGGTAAGAAAATCATTGGCTCGTGAAGAGTACTGTCAAAATGTAAAGTAAAGATGAGCAAACGAACGAAGCGGCGATGGGACGGGGATGGATTTGGAGAGTAACGAAGAAGGAAAAAAATAGAATAAACTCAAGAAACGAACCCAGAATGAATGAAAAGGCAACCATCCATGGTAACGGTCCACATCACCCCAGTCCACCCAGTCCGTCCGATATGATCCACCCGAGAGCCTAGCAGGAAAAAAACGGTTATGCCCCACGCATAACTTCTTCATAGATTAAAACCTTGAGCTCTTCTTTGCTGAGACCTTTTCCATTGTTGAAGGTGTCAAAAGACCAAAATTCGCTGTCAATGCGCTCAGCGCCGGGCTCATCGGATGGGTCGTGGTAGGGTGCGCTATAAAGTTTGGGTAGAATGTTACTGAGGAACAGGGTAAAAGTAAACGGAGGATGTACTGACAGATAGGGATGAGCTAAAGCACCCTCGACGTCAATCCTCCTTTTCGGATTAAAGCTTAAACATTTTTCCATAAGATCAATAGCAAGAGGATTTTTGCCCTCAAAGCCTTTGACGCCACCTTCATGGACGGGTTTTCCGAAGACTTTCTTTTTTCGAAAGGGTAGTGCACGGATGTATTCACGCGAACGGGAGGATGAGATAGCGTAGAAATCGTCAAGCGTAGGGGTACCCAGGACATCGAGGATTAATGACAACTGGTGGTGATAATCTCGACCAGGGAAGAGGGGCTTTCCGGACAGCATTTCTGCGAGAACACAGCCAAGAGACCAAATGTCGATGGCTTTGGTGTATTGTTTGAAGGTTAACATGACCTCTGGAGCGCGATACCATCTGGTAGCGACATATTCTGTCATGAATGTCGACGCGTCTACTGGGTGGTCAGGAGGAGGACGTGCCGAACGGGCGAGCCCGAAGTCACATAACTGCGATTGTTAGCGAGTCCGGGAGGTTGCAGACAAAGATGGTCACCTTCAGATCGCAATTTGCATTTAATAAAAGGTTGGACGGCTTGAGGTCCCGGTGCAAAACGTCGGCACTGTGTAGTGCTTTCAGTGCACGGAGTGTCTATAACGAATGATGAGATTATAACAAAGAAACAAAGACCCATACGTACTTGGTAGATGAAATATTGACAATGGTCATCGCTCAACTCTTGTGTTCTGATGACTCGGTGGAGATCAGTCTCCATCAGCTCTTGAACAAGATACACCTCCGTCATGCCATCTAGGCTTCCGTCTGGTCCCAAATTTGGTTTGAGTATGTCAAGTATCCCGATGATATTTTCATGCTGAAAATGGCGCAAAAGTTTGATTTCTCGCAATGTCCGGAGGCAGAACATTGAGTGGTCGAACGGCGTTATCCGCTTGATAGCTACTTTCCGCTGTGATTGAATGTGTACTGCAGAACAGACGACTCCGTAAGCGCCTTCCCCGATTATGTCCAGTGGTTGGTACGAAGAACCGACGATAAAAGCAGTCGTCCGGTCATCCATATTGTCAAAGAAGAGGTCCAAGTCAGGTCTGACGGAGAACAATAATTAAGTCAATTGGAACGCTGTGATTACGTCAGTAGAATAGCCGTAATGCGATTAAGCGCTTTCACTTCTGTTCCAGAACCATGTCCAGAACAGATTAAAACTTGACAACGAGCTTGATCAAGCGACGACTGCGGATGCCACCTCACTCTTACATTTCCAACGACCCTTGGGCCAGGTTGAATCTTTTTCAGCCTTTTCCTGGCCTTTTCCTCGAAGAGTTTTAGCTAATTTAATCTTATTTGAACCGCTCATCGTAACGAAACCCTTCTCCTTGCCTACACCCGTTAACGTACTCTTCGACTTCCTTCACACACGCAGATGCACATCCATGGCTAATACTCAGAGCGACCGATTTCAAGGAATCTTTAAACCCCCAAGAATTGACTTATGTCCCTCAAATCTGTGCTGACTATACTCCATGTTCCTTTATTCGCTCCTTTGCCCACATTGTGTCTACATTCGAGCCAATATGTATATCCCATGTTCCCGTCGATGGAGCAAAAACCATGTTAACAGCGCTGTTAACGCGTTATCATTTTTCTTCCAGGGGAGTTTTTGACGACTGCCAGGCCGAGCATCACGTATGTACGTCGCTATGTCATCTGTACAGTTGGACTGCTCAGAGTTCAGATCCTACAATCAATGACACTGCGCACAAGCAGAAAAGTTCTTCGATCATTTGCTAACACAAAGTTCGAAGGTTATTGAAGATATCATCGTGATGCTATATACATAATCGGCAACTTCAAGATTTTTCCATCGGTAAAGGTCTTTGCTGGGGTTGCTATTTTGGGCCTGTGGTTTCTCCGAGCTGGTCTCGCTATCATGCGAGTTAGCGGAAGCCACTCAAATCAGCTCGAAACCATTGTGCTTCTTTATACCTCAATCACTTAATCGGATCATCAATTTATGCGTCAAACTACCTTTGCTTGCTCGTCAAGGTTGTTCTAGTTGGGCTTCAAAATCTAGAGCATTCTGAGGTGTCGAACTTCAAATCTCTTGAGAACGGTGAACAGTGTACAGACAACAGTTTATGGGTCCAATCACTGGCAATGATGAAGAGATGATAGTAGTGCAATTAGTTGATAATAATCGACCTTCCGAGTCGCTGCTGGGAATATAAATAGGCTTGGTAGACTGTAGTTATACTTGCGACAAACTTTTCCCTCAAACACAGAGCTGGTCTGAGCTGGTCTCTTGGCCTTTTTCATCCGATAGCCCACCGCTGGTCGCCTTCCCTTGATCGACTGAATGGTTTACTATTCTATACTTGCAGCAGCCATCACTGTCGAAGCTGCTTCATCCGTCGTTCTTGCTCTTCCGGTTCCAGGATTTCCTTCCAACGATCTTTGGAGTGCCGTAGTGCCTCCCATCACAGACATGCCATGGACGACAGGGATGCCAATACCGCCTCCAGCACAAGGCCAATCACTTTCTGTGGCTCATGAAACGCAGATCAGTGAGGATTTCCTCCAAAATCAGGAGCTTGATGATCTCTTCAGTGAGGTGCACCATGCTCATGACAACGCAAAGGTCGAGCTCGAGATGGATTCAGAGAAACTTCTCTATGGTGGCGGAGAGCAGCTCCCTCATCCACGCTATGGTGTGAGTATCACTTAGTTTGTCTAGTAATAGTGCTTATTCTGTGTTCAAAGTCCTATATCGTTCATTCCGAGCATGACATGAAAATGGTCCCAGAAGACGTCTTTTTCGACATTCATGGATACCATGTTCGCGTCTTCATTTCTGTCATCCTTCTGGATAATTGACATGATTTTCATACATAGACTTCTGAGATTCTGGAAGGGATGACAGTCGAGGTAACTCACTTTGCTGCTCTTCCGTTGTTTCTACACTGATGTACGGTATGTGACAGGCTAAGGACCAGATCACCTCGATATTTGATGATGCGGAAAGACGGGAAGGTCTTCCACTCGTTCATACGAAGCGTGGTCGGGAAGACACTATGTCATGCTCGTCCGCCAAAACATACTTGGACAGTCTTGACCCTGACATAAAAAACATCATGGCTATCCTATTCAAAGATTGGAGTTTGGAGGCAAGAGGCGCTTGGATAAAGTGCGATAGGCAATGGGACGAAAACGAATATTGGTAGAAAAATGAAGAAAATGGGTCGCGAATACCCTAAATTTGAATTCGAAAAATTTGTACACGCTTTCCTCGTAGTTAAAGCTGCTTCTTAATTCATAGGCGCGTAGAGAACCTTGTGTCCTTGTATTTGTGTTCCATTCTAGAGGTCATTTTTATTGCTAGGAGGTACATAATTGATAAGATGCTTTGCAAAGATATCCAGGCTAACATTCAAGATCGTCAAGCAGTACTATTCGATAGGCTCAAATATATCTACATAATTTATCCCTCATTCATCCAAACACCTTATACAATTCGAACATCCGATCCTCCATCACTGCTACAGCCTCTTCTCCCTCCATTTTCCACGGTTCTGTATCCGTCATACACATCTTGAATTCCGCAGAATTAATGACTTCCGCTCCATCCACACGCCATTCGTGGATAGCAAGTAAGGTGGGAGGGGACTGTAACTGAACTTTTTTCGCGGCCCTTCCAGCAAGCTCTGCATGCTCTGTAAGGCGAAAAATGCGCGATCGTATATACCCTGGTGCAAGGGCTAGCTGGGGAATACGTGTGGAAGTGTACCATTGGACAAGGTGGTCCTCTTGAGTTTTATACCTGGATTCGTCCTGCCCGTTCTTCACCACTTGCATATGGACGACATAAAGGAACTTCGCAGCCTTATCGGATTCGCTGACATTGACATTGGCCGTACTAACTTTCAACGTCTCCGAAACCTCGGAAATGTCAGAGGAATTCACTAGTTCATATACCCGCCGATTCAGCGTCTCCAGATTTCCAATTACCCGCCTTTCATTGTCCGATGCCTTCAAACGAAGATCCTTGTACTCATGGCTTTGCATAACCTCTTGCGAGGTCAGATCATACAGTGCAAGCCATTTAGGAAATGTTTTCGGTGGCGTGTCCAGAGCTTTATACCGAGCAGCAGTGAGAAAACCGGGTACTGTAATGCGAAGAGGTGCATGTTCGTTATCATACCAGTCTAATATCGGTGAGTTGGCGTAGATACACGCATCAAAAGTTGGAAATTTGCTCACCATTGAACTGCTCTTCTGTAACAGATTTTCCACATTCTGCGTACACGAAGAGAAGAGCTCGAGCAGTGGTGGGCATGTAGGTATATGTGAGTGTGAGTGATGGGATGAAAGGGCCTGAGAGACCTGATCGTTTTTCTGTTGCTCATGACGCATTCAAGATATTCTGACCTCAGCTCATTGAATGGAAAGCGAATAGTAAAATTGATTTGTCCAATGTACAGCTTGATGTGGGATGTTTTCTATGATATATTACCACCCCAGTACACTTGGTATATCGCATGGTCACGCGAAGGCTGCCTCTGCCTTACTACCTTCGCTGAACCCATAGTTCTCTCCCTTGACGAATGAACGCGTACATTGCGCCATGGTGACAGAGCTGAAAACATAGACGGAAGTGTGAGCAATGAATTAATGTAGTCGACATTAATGCTCACTTTCTCGAGATAACATCCGTCTGGTAAAAGTTTGTAATTGGCCTCTTGAAAGCACCGCCTTGAATCTTGACACCACTCGTCTTCTTTGCCAGGGCTTGTAGTCCAGCGAGTGCAATTTCAGCCGATGTGCGTTCTAAAACATCATATCTAACCAATGAAGGTGAAATTTCCCACATCCGGTCTCGAAGGGAGAGTACATCGTCGTAGGGAAGAGGGGAACCAACAATCTCGGATAAAGCACTAAATGATTTATGGTATTGATAGAAAGTTCACTAAATGTTCAGTTAAATTCACTAACCGTATGATTTTCCAGTCTTCCCGACTTGCGCCAGGTGGCGGAACAGCAGCCCTTCCCAACTGAGTCCTACCCTCCGTATTTATCCACGTCGAACTCTTCTCCGTATATGCCGCACCAGGCAGACAGACGTCAGCAAGTTGAGCTCCGATGTCTCCGTGATGTCCTTGATACACTACAAAAGCGTCCTGAGGTATCCTTGAGGGATCAATTTCGTCCGCATTGAGAAGGTAAATGAATTTTGCTTTAGTTTTCGAAGCGGTAGGGGAAGGGACAAATCCAATGTCATACGCTGCAGGCCGAGAAGCGATACGCTGGAGAACGCTGAAGCCATTCCACTCCGGCGTTACCAATGTCTCCTTGTTCAACTCCACGAAGCGCGAGAGTTCATTGAAAGCGGTAGCACCGTCTGCATGCTCAGCAAGTGCACTACCAACGATGATCAGAGGTTTCTTCGCAGCTTTGAATTTCTTCGCAAATTCGCCTTTGCCAGCAATGAAATCAGACAGAGCCTTGGCGTCAGCGCCGAGGTAGTCGTAGCCATACGTAGTATCCACTTGTTCACCGATTAAACCAACCTCAAGTCCTGTGTGCAGCCAGGACTTACGTATGCGCGAGTTCAGGACTGCGGCTTCATGACGAGGATTAGTTCCAACAAGCAGGATGACATCGGCCTCCTCGACGCCCGGTATTGTGGAGTTGAAGAGATAATTTGAACGAACGTCGATACCATGCACAGGCGCGGAGTATCCTCCGGCTTGGTCAAGCGCAAGGTTGTCTGAGCCGAGTCGGTTGATCAAATCCTTGAGCGCCACGAGCGATTCAGTGTCAGCCAGATGCCCAGCGACAGCTTGAATCTCATTATCTTTTGCGCCAGACGCGGCGAGGCCGTTGGCAATTGCTGTCAACGCCTCTTCCCATGTCGCACCGACGAATCTGTCACCCTGTTTAACGAGCGGTGAAGTGAGGCGTTGGAAACGAAGGCCATCGTACGAATAACGCGTCTTGTCACTGATCCATTCCTCGTTTACATCATCGTTGGTCTTGGGTTGTATACGCATCACCTGAACACCGCGCGAATCGATGCGGATATTTGAACCAAGTGCATCAAGGACATCGACAGACTCCGTATTCTTCAGTTCCCAGGGCCTAGCTGTAAACGCGTATGGTTTGCTCGTCAATGCGCCGACGGGGCAAAGATCGACAACATTTCCAGAAAGTTCAGAATCCATGGTTTTCTCTACGTACATCCCGATTTGGAGATCGTTCCCGCGTCCTGTAGTACCAAGCTCCTCAACGCCGGCAACCTCGTTGGCGAAACGTACACAACGAGTACACTGGATGCAACGGTTCATCGAGGTCTTGACGAGGGGACCTAAATCCTTATTCTCCACTGCTCGTTTTCCTGCGATTTCATGGAAGCGAGTACGATCGGAGCCGTAGCGCATAGACTGATCCTGTAGGTCGCATTCTCCTCCTTGGTCACAAATAGGACAGTCCAGTGGATGATTCGACAGCAGGAACTCCATCACTCCTTCGCGAGCTTCGTGCACTAATGGGCTATTCGTCCATACTTTCGAACCTGGCATTGCGGGCATTGCACTGTATGGTATGAAAAGGTAAGTGCAAGGTATATTCCATCAACTCAAACCGTACCAGGAGGCTACTGGTTTCGGTGACCTTTCAACTTCAACTAAACACATGCGACAGTTTCCAGCGATCGCGAGCCTGTAGATGGTCTTTCAAAAAACGGTTCCTTGTTCTTTATCTGAGGTCAAATAAAATACCTGTCATGATAACAAAACCTAGAAGTAGGAGATGCATAGTCAAAATGACGCTGAGGATGAAGAACACTTCCTGAACGCACCGTGGTATTGTTGCCCCTGCGGCTTCACAAGCTTGGATCAACGCAGAACCTAAGGCCAACCAAGGTCAGGATCTGAATCTGAAAAACAACTGTAGAGGAAAATCGTGCCTTGGGGGACCGTCACTTCCTTTCCGTCGACAGTCAGAGTGATGTCGGCCTGCCTTGAGGATGTCGATGACAGCGAGCGACGGCCTAAGCAGGGGTCAGAGTGAACCTGCTTGTGAATTAGATGTACTCACTATTAGCCTTAGCTCCTCCAACCTTTCCAACCAAGCTCGCTGCACTGGGTCGCGACACGGTCGTCACGAGCCTCAGCATTTCTCTTCAGAGCACCAAAAATGAGTGGGTATGGGGGGCGTTTTGAGAAAAAAGTAGTATATCTGCAACACAGTGACGAAGACGGAGAAAGCAGCGACGAGCTCAGGGCCTCAACGTCCTAGAAATTGCACGGTCGTGATTGGTGGGCCGGCTTGGATCGGAAGTGCCTCCGAAGATGACAAATTACTCCGTAGCGCAACCAAGCGCCTGAATCTGGACCTCTTTGCGAACACCGTAGATCGCACTTGGGAACTTTATGGTACATATTCTCGTTGATAGTCTGTTTAGTAAACAGCAGTGATACAAATAGCAGGAGTAGCCAGCTCAGAGGTTTACTCTTACACTCGGTACATATCTTAAACTCTCTTAAATTACACAGAATAATTTATCTTGAACCTGTCTCGAACTGATCTCAATTGGACCGCCACAACCTGCGTAAGATTTGGAATGCGTTGAAAATCTGTTGCTGTAATTTCGAAATTAGTATGGTGGTCAGGGAATAGAGATTTACATGAAGTGCTCTATGAATAAGTGCTCACTTTCAAATTTCGGCGCCAACCTCTACTCTCGGGCCTCCGTTCAAACCGAAGTACGCGTTGCTGCTCATGAAAATCAACAAAGCTGGATTGCGGATCGACCTCTCTGCTTGGCCGCGACTGGTAGATACCATGTCCAATAGAACCCCATGTAGGATGAAGCTGGAACCTGTTCCCGTCACTTCGGGGATGACTCGGCGTCGAAACAAACTCCTGCACCCTCTCCCATCTCATCGCCCGATTGTTTGAAGAAGTTAATGGATCTTTCTTTCCTGAAAGTGGTGAGCTTATCATTGTCGTTGTGAGTGAGGGAGGGAAGTCGGTCTGTGTCGTAGAAGGGGAATAAACCATCGGGCTCGATGGATAACTGTCATCTGGAACGATCTTGATGGATAGTGTCAGCGGGAAAACGCAGCACCTCGAAAACAGCAAACAGACGGTTATGAAGCTCTTCATGTGAGCATAGGCGCCGGTTTCAGACTCGTCGTCGCGCTGGTGCTTGAGAAGGGTTACTTGACTGTTTGTCTCCATACCGAAATGCACGACAAACCTCATTTGCATAAATGTAGCCGGCAGCTCCGCTATATGGGTGGTTCATCCTTCTCGTCGTTCCAAGAAGTAATTGGACAAAGAGTACAGCAGCAGCTATACCCGTTCCTCGTATTCTCCCGCGCGGCAGCTGGAGAATAACTGGGTGAGACCAAGAGCCGGAACAGACTGAAGCTGAATGCTGTTACTCGTAGTGTCACCGATGAGGGAAGAAGTGTAAGGGATTTCGGCAGGTGCGATCCGAGTACTTCTCCTGTTTAGTATTCTATCAATTAGATGCAGACTGAGTACTGATCATCAATGTAAAATTGATTCTTACGCTGAGCTTCAGAGATGTGGTCGGAAGGACTATCGATTGTCTAGAGCTGGGAAACTTTTCAAGATTGATGAGGGAGGGAATTGTATTTCCGACGAGTCCGTGCCCTTGAGAAAGAGAATAAATAACAGATGTACGGGACACATAAGACTTCAAAGCATTCAGCAACTTCGGCGTGAGATGATAAAAAGAAAACCACAGATCAAGCGCCGTCACTGTTTTCTCTCAAGTTTCCAGGAACAAAATGAATTCAACTTCGAGCTGCAAACCAAAAACGATTACGCTGGACATGACGCGATGCCAATAATATTCGACTACAGTAAGGACCGAGTTCTATCTGATCCTGTTACAAGTACATATCGCCGTCACTGAAAGTTATACATCGTCCGTGCTTGTATGCTGATGAAAGAGGGCCAACGTCTCAATTATTTACTACAATCCAAGATTGCGTCGAGAAGTGCAAGATTCTTAGCCTCTTCTGCAACTTCCCGTAGAGTCGAGTTCGTTCCAGCGCTCTGGTTTACCGGTATTGTTGGTTGTGTGATATTCTTCGAAATATTGGCCGTGGTCCCAATTGGCAAGTTATCAATTTTGTTAGGCTTTTCAAGTCCCCTGCCTGTTGATCATGGCTCTCCGGCATCGATTCTGCATTGGATCCAGCCTGTGAAAGCGCAGCGTGTGTTTTAGCGCGTGTTGATATTTTTTTGAGATTCTCGATATAATATTACGATACCTTTGATTGACGTTTAGGCAAAAGGAAGGAAAGATTGAACGGCAGATACTGAGCCAAAGGGGAGCTTGAGGTGACTTTGTCCTGCATTCAATGAACGTCAGCTGAAATTCAGAAATATCAAACCTCGAATCCGACCTGGACCGCAATTTCAGGCTTTATCGGAGTACACGAGATACCATTGATAGGCGGTTGCTCCTGAGTAATGTTATGTTTCAAGCTTGGAACTTGGGAAAATCATGAACACTGACCAGGTCATTATTCACTGCAGGTTTGAACGGACCGGAACTTGTCAACACCGTCGATCACCTTGCTTGCAAAGGTCATTTGTTACTCGATATTATTAGCGCTGCGGAAACTTTACCCACGGTTTCGGCGCTTGTTTCTAATTCTAACCTGTTGTTTTTGTCCTGTTTACTAACCACATGTCTACCGTACCAGTGTCCCTCCACTGTTGTGTGCAGTGTGCTCAGGTAGGTCGGCAGGTATTCACTTCCTGTTCAAATAACAGCTCCAGCCATTTCTTGTCCTGTTCCCACTCTGCCTCCTTTATATATCTACCACAAGTTCAGTGTATGATGTACGGCTGAAATCAGTTGGCAGATATTCATGCCAGGGCGTAAGTCGCTAACGAGCTTGCCTCGTTTTTGTGTGAAAGAGAAAGGAAGGAATCTAATGGGCACTCCAACCAACCAATCTAATACACAATATGCGAGTTCACTGCTATCAAATTTATATAATAGCAAGGGGTAGCGTTGGCAAAGGTTCCGCAAAGCTTTGAGAGCTAAGTAAGAAGCTTTGATCAATCAATTTGAATCGTTCTAAGGATTCGATATATTCCTTTGATCAAGGTAGATTCAGCACGATTTGTGCTTTGGTTTGTATTGATTTGGGTATATCAAGAATTGGGGGTTTGAATCAAAGTAAATTAAAACCGAAACACACAGACCCCTACGGAGAGCTAGAACTATGTGCTGGCACAACCACACAGCGTGATTTGCCCTTAAGACCAACGACTGATCCTAAGTTCGAAGGATATCCAACAACTGGATATACTTCTCGCAGTCACAAGGAGCAGAACACAACGTTCCTATACTCACAAGTGCCGGGCCCGAATGGCTGCTAGCGAAGAGGTTTCAGTCTGGCGGGAGTGTGTCTTTCCTTTTTACAGATTAGCACTGCAACGTCGTCCCAAAATCACTTGTATTCCAGATACATCGGATCGCTATTTATACATACAGAATATAGAGTCGCACAGTACAATTAATTTAATACAATAAACGTTCGGAACCGCCAGGAAACTTCTACACTCGGTCAGATACCATTTAATTTGAATCTACATGTCCTTATTTGGCCCATATTGGTTCCAAGATTCTAGTATACCTCCAAACATAGGTAGGTACTTCAATATTCATTTAATTTAATTGTTTTTGGAGAATGACTCGAATGGTGTTCAACTGTCATTGCTGTTCAACACTTACTTCGATCATTTGTCACCTCGTCCGGAGGCAAATCAGCTCTCCTCGATTCTAATCCTATCAATCTGATTCATCTGGATTAAACTAATTGCTTCTCTCTTTCAACAGACACCCATTGTGCCTATACTCTATCAAGGGAGTTACGCATAGTATTCATTTAATTGTATTCTTCAATATTTTCTACGTCAGGACTCTTTGACATTCATTTGATATGTCTTCGGAGCCTCGCAGTACTTCGATCGTTCTTCTAGTCATTTTCCTCAAACATGCAACTTGATTGGTCTATTAGACTAAATCGCAGTCTTTTAGATTAATGCATGATCTCGTTCTAGAAGGAGTATTTGATAATTCCTGAGTTCTAGAAAGTCATTTCGAGTCAATCCTCGGCTCATGGTCACTTGAGTAAGTTTTTCCAAACTCCTGCCAGTGTAAGGTCCAGTAAGAATACCCTTGGTATGTCATATGTGAATGGTCATCCTTCGGATGTAGTCTGAGTCTGGTATAATCCTGCTTGACAAACAGGTAGACTGCTATCCGAAGGTAGTATCAGGGATGGGTAAACTAACCAACTTGTGGTAGTATGGGTATATGGTCCCTTCAACTTATTAGACTGATTCAGTATTGACTTTGACTGTCAATCTGGGTCTCAATTACAGTCCTCTCGATACAAATCTATACGTGAAAATGTCACAATTCACAGCATAGATGTCTAGCCAAAATTTAGGCGTGTCATCGCCTTTGTACCTGTTGAGTACCACCAACCACCTTCACATCAAATAACAAATCCAGCTTTTCTACCGCCCTGTTCTTACTTCGCCACCTCCATGTCCTTATCACAAGTTGCTGACTGACATTTGAACATATTGTTTACACACAGAGTTTTTGCCTCCGTTTCATCTCAGATTCCATGTGCGACATTGCGCCATTAGCCTTTACTTTGTGCTGCACCTGCGACCACCCCTTTATTCTGCTTGACCTGTTTCCAGCTACTTAATGTTGAACCTGTTTCACATTAATCCCCACTGATTCGGCTGCACAACAGGGCTGTAAGACCTGGGTCAAAATAGGTCTTAGGGTAGGTTTTGGTATGTGGAGGTTTATGTTGTAGCGTGCTAGGAGCAGGCTGGAGCTCGAAGGGAGCTACGAGAACCGCGACCGAGGACGGGAATGACCTAGTAGTGGTTGGAACGACGAGATGGTGACCCTTGAGGGGTTCCTAGGAGGTCCAGGGAGGTCCCTAATGCGTAGGGAGGTTCGGGACGAGTGCGGGACCGTAAGATATTGCGTAGTAGGAGTTGTACTCGCTAGAACGTCAATATAGAGTCGAGTAGGTAGTTTATGCAATGGGGTCTCGAGGGTGTAAGCTCCCGAGAAGGGATATGCCAGGGAGGGTAGGTCCCTGGGGGCTAGGTTGGAGGATGGTCGTCCTCGAGTGTGGGAGGTGGTAACGGAGAAGCAGTACGTAGTTCGACGTGAGGGGTAGCTTCGACGTTACCTAGATCGAGGTCCCGAAGCTTACGAAGTAGCTAGGGAGCTCTGGGAGGTTTGGGGAAGAGTAGCTCACCAAGCGGGTAGGCGTTGGGGAGCTTTAGTAATGTTCGAGGGAGCTCGGGGACTCACTCGGAAGGCTTAGACTTGAAGTAAAAGCGTATATTCGATCGTACCGACGATCAGAGAGACAATAGACAGAAGTAGAGAGAAACAGAGGTAGAGAAACAGAGAGGAAAGAGAAATCCGTATGGTTAGCAGGTACAAAGGGACAGGGACTGGACCTATGCAAAAGGGTGTGTGTTCAAAATATACCAAGCTGGGGCTTGGGGACGTTACGGAGCTACTTAAATAGGTATGGGAAGTGAACAAGGGAACATCAGGGACCATGAGGCATGTAATCGAGATTAGTACCTTAATGGGGTAGGTGTAGGAGGGCTTCTTACGCGTGTCGGGGGAGGTTTTAGGGGTTACTTGTGTCGAGGGATCTGAAGATGGTAACTGGTATGTTTTTGGGGAGGTACGGAGGTGGTTCTGTGCGGGTTGTGAGAGCGTATGGCTGATACTGGGGCTGTCCTGGTAGTCACCAGGCGTGAAGACGGGAGAAAGGGAGCTGTGGTTAACGGTCGAGGCATGACAAGGGCTCTGAGTTCCTTGGTAACGGGTTGAAGCCTATGGCAGGTACAACAGCCACAGTTGCAAAGGTTGCTTCTTTCACATTTGGGGAGGAGGAACATCCGTCGAAAGGTATGTGTAGCTGATATATGTGATTGTACATTGACAACTTTCTGCTTGCAAGCAGAGTCAGTTAATGCTAATGGTAAACAGTTTTCAAGTGCACCAAATGTGAAAGCGGGGCCTTGCAAGGTGGCTAGGACCACCGGGTTGGCCAAAGATTGAAGGCCACATACAGTTGTCTGTTTTTATTGTTTATGTATGTTCGTTTTGGTTCAACTCCTTGTAGTCAGGCTGTATTATTTTACAACAGCTTCGATAAAATATGTATCTGTATGTATTGAGCTTGCTGCTTCACTGCAGCGAGGTGCAATTTGCATGTGACTTACTAGAACGCCTCAAGCAAGGTTTGTGTCCCCTGCGGGGGCAACTAGTTTGTCAAAGGCCTGCAAATGCGATGTTAGCGATACCGCCTTTGAGATCTCTTTTGTCGGCTCCGGAGTTTGCGAGCTTTGGGGCATAAGTGTTTATATGGCAGGTGTTTGAGGCTATTCCAGTGGATTTCAGCATCCTGGAAATACAGATACGTTACAATGTACCTTCGATTTTGGAGCTGGGTTAGCAGCGGCACACTGGTACGATGTATGTTTACTTGTGTGAAGACCACAAGTGATGCCTTTGTAAAGTTCCTGTAGAATGGGTACGCTCATTACGACTCCCTCGGCGATTGTTAGAATTTTACGAATCATATCGAGCCAGCTGGTCGAATCCTGTACGAGGTCACTATTCAGTGTAGCGATTTGTACGAAAA